CTAGCTCCATTCATTCTCAATGTGTCCCTCTAGAGGGAGTTGCTCAGTCCTGCCATCACAATTAACTAGGACCTGATAGTCTTCTGACACCATTTAAAAGATGCCCCAGAATCTCTAGAGCTTCCAACTGGGTCCCATCATCAGAATAAATGTGTGCTTTCCAAACTGACTCTGAGGCTGTAAGGTGACATTTACCAAGCCCCTGGCATGTGCCTCTTACTTCAACTTAGTCATGATGACAAGGCTGTGAAGAAGGTATCATCATCCCCACTGGAATGCCGAGGAAGTCGAGGGACAGGAAGCTTAAGTAACTTGCCCAATGTCATGTAATTAAGCAACAGTGCTAAAACTCAAACACCGAAATCTGTTCTTTTAAACATATATTGCCTTTAAAATTCTGGTATGATATTTAAACAATTCTAATTACATTCATTCTTCATATTTGTAATGGCATGGACAATGTCTCAGAGATGAGAAAAGGCCATTTGGGGTAAAATCACTGTTTTGGAAGTACAGCAGATTTGTTCTCACTGCAAATTCATTGGAGGGTTTTATTCAAATTGTCCTTTTTCAGAGATTGGAAATGCTCAGTATCCAATATTTATTATTCAACTTGGAGCAGTTTCCCCTAGACAGGCATTTATACAAAACAGTGATGTTTCTAGGCCTGGCAGACTGCCTGTGGGAGGGCCAGTATTAACATTCTGTGCCCTTAAGTATCCAGTGGCATAGGATAAGTGCCATTGATAAAGTCTACAAGAGGTAAATTGTGTTCTCTAGGGATAAGGAATGAAAGTCAAGCATGTTTTCTTAGAAGCAGAGAGCTTCCCAGGGGGCATTTCCATTCCTACAGGCAGCCCCCAATCCAGTCCCATCCCATCTGAGAACATCTCCAGGCCTAGAAAGGCAAGTGAAGCTTCAGATCATGCTGGGCTCATCTGGAGCAGCCCAGAAGCCCTCCATCACCCTGAAGTCCACAGTTCAGGGAACGTCTTAGGCTGGGCCACTCTCAAGAAGCAGAGGTAAAAAGACTCATGGCTCCTCCACTCACCATTAGCTCACAGCACTGAAGGAAAATGCCACTTCCTTTTCAGTCTGCCCTTTTGCAACTATAGTCCTCTTCAAAGCCGCCTTCATTATCACTGTAACTTCATGCTAACTACAGACGTTATTCTTAAAGGATAACAATGAATCCACAGTGTCATTTACCCTAAGCTCGGCATTGCTCCAGAGCTGGTCCTGGGCCAGGGGCCTCCCATGATTAGAGACAAAATTAGACATGTGCAAGGAAGACACTGCCACCAAAGGGCTCTGGGGCAGGTGTCAGGGCCCCGATGTAATTATGGAAGGATAATACCCACCCCAGGGACTACTTCATTTCTCATCCCTAAGGAGGTCTTCGCCAATCAGAAAAGAGAATTCTTTAACAGCAGCTCCCCACCCCCTGGCCAGGAACCACGCATAGCTTTTCAGAAAATGTTTCTGGGCAGGTGGTGCACAAAGCCAGAAAGGGAAACAAACTCCAGGCAGAACAGGAGACACAATAGCTCTGTGGCCCTGACCCTGGCTCAGAATCCACCTGGTGCTCAAGCTAGGACCGTTTCACTGCAAGCTGAGGACCTGGTTTGCTCTACATTGTCCGGCCTTGCAGGCTGGCAAGAAACTGAGCCTCTGGGCTCTGCCCACTGATATGACTCTGGCTCTGGGAGGTCACCTCAGTGATGACAGATGCACTGGGCGGCCATCTGTGACCATCCCCATCCTCAGGGATCCTTCAAAAGAAGGTTAATGTGTGAAGTGGGAATCATAAAGTCAGAGACCTCCATGGGGCTTTGAGACAGTCTCTACATCTCCAGATGAGCCATCTAAACTGATCTGAAACAGCTATGCTCATGTGAATCATACTCACTCATTCTTTATTTTGCTGGTTATTAAAAATGTCAGACTCACTTTATAAAAATATAAGGGAGGCACTGAAAATCACCTGCAGTCCTACTATTCACTGCCTTAACCTTTTGGTGTTTTTCATTCCTGATTTCTTCCCATGAATGTATAGGAGGTTCTATGTCAATATACACAGTCACGTGTTGCTTAACTATGGGGGTATGTTCTGAGAAGCGCATCATTAGGCAACTTCATTGTGTGCACATCACAGAGGGTACTTACACAAACTTAACGGCAGACCCTACTGCCCACTTGGGCTGTATGGCACAGCCTATTGCTCCTAGACTACAAACCCGTATAGCATGTTACAGTACTGAATACTATGGACAAATGTAATACATGGTAGTTTTGCATTTAAGCATATCTAAACAGAGAAAAGTTACGGTAAAAATATGATACTATAATCTTATGAGACTTCCATCATATATGCAGTTCATCATTGACCAAAACGTTACATGGTACACAACTGTACTTTCTATATTGTTATATATAAATATACATCCTGAATAACAAATAAAAACAGATATTTGCTATGTTATTTTCATCTTGTTTTCTGAAGTCCCAGAAATGAAATAAACAGGTAAAAGAGATGAACTTTTAAGACTCCTGCCAATTTGCATCTCATTGTAAAGTCCCGAAGAGAGTGATTATATGCCCTCCTCTAGCCACCTGCGAAAATACTTATTAGAAAAGTGTGTCATATTTAATGAATGGTATTGCCAATAAGAATGGGGGTAATGATCCTGCCTTTCCCTGCCAGAATGTTCTTCCTGACATCTGCACTAATCCTTTCTGCTGATTGAACTACAAACCTGTTCCTTCTTGTCATTTCGGGGAATAAAAACAGCACTTCCTACCGTGCCCCTGACCGGCTTCTATGAAGAAAACCTGTTGTCAAATCTCTGCAGCCCTGTTGGTGTCCTCTGATGCTGGCTAAAGGGAGCCCCAATCATTTGCATTTGCTCAAGAATCAAATTGCTTAAGGCCCATATGCCCCCCTTCCCTTGCACAGGGCTCTTCTCCTGTGCATTCTCCAGCTTCTCCATCCCAGACAGAAAGCCTGTTCCTTCCAACAGACATCTCCAGTAAAGCCCTGAGATTACCTTGCTCACCCACAAGCAACATGCTCCTATTTATAAACTCGAACCTCAGCTTGGTACCACCCTGGAGTGCTGATTCACGGCATTATGACTGAATTGTATTTTGCCTCTATTGTAAATAAGTACTAAGAAAGAAGTTTGTACTGTCTGTTTCTGAATCTCTTTCGGCTCTTCATCAAGAGAAAACTTTCATTCTATAAATGGATCCCAGATTGATCATGGATCTTTTCAGGAATATGAATGTGGAGAAGAAATGAGATTGATTTTAATGACGTGCAAATTTAAAATGAGATAATTATAGCTAATATCCTAAAGCCCTCATTTAGGAAATAGCCTTTAGCTTTCAATAGAATTTGCCTTTCTAATAAGAACAGTATTTATTGGGCACTCAGCGCATGCCAGGCACTGTGCTAAGCATGTTGCTTCTGCTTATTTAATTCTTCATAGTAACTTTATAACCTAAGTACTATGATTGCCCCATTGTTACAGAGGAGAAAACTGAGGAACTGAATCTCCTTGTAGCAACACGAATGGATCTTAAAAACATAATGCTTGCTGGGTGTGGTGGTTCATGACTGTAATCCCAGCACTTTGGGAGGCTGAGGTGGGCAGATCAGGAAGTCAGGAGTTTGAGACTAACCTGGCCAACAGAGTGAAACCCTGTCTCTACTAAAAATACAAAAACTAGCCAGGTCTGATGGCGGGTCCCTATAATCTCAGTTATTTGAGAGGCTGAGGCAGGAGAATCACTTGAACCCGGGAGGTGGAGGATGCAGTGACCCAGATCCCACCATTGCACTCCAGCCTGGGCAACAGTGCGAGTCCCCGTCTCAAAAACAAACAAACAAAAAAACTAAAAACCTAATATTTAGTTTTTTAAAAACTAAGAAGCAGAATGAAAAATACCACACGATACCATTTATAAAATTAAAAGACATGTATATTATACAATACACATTTTATAAAAGCGCAAACAGAACGTCAAACATGTTAGAGTGGTGATCTATGGAGAGGCTTTGCACACAGCAGTGAGAACTACATGTCGTGAACTGAACAGCATCACACCTCCACTCTGCACAGAGGTCCAACTACAAAAACAGTAACCCCAAAACTTAGAGCAGGGAGATGGTAATGGACTGCTCTGGGTTACAGAGCCAGGCCTGGACTTGAACCCAGGTGTCCTGCACCTGCACCAGAGTAGCATGGTTGGAACTAGTTGGTGAATCTTTAATTCCTGAAAAGGTCTCTGCTATATAGCTAAACCTCTTCAGGTTTCTACACTTTAAAGGCCTCTAGTAATAGCATGGTTATTTGATCTTGAGGGACAAGTAGATCTGCTGTATTTATTTTACAGCAAGCCCAAATATGAACTAAACAACCAGCCACTTATCTATTCATTCAGCAAAAATTTGTTTTTGAGTGTTGATTATTTGCCAGGCATTGGGCCAGGCAGAGGGCAAGTGGAGATGAGCCTCCATGAGCTCCCAGCCACTGAGCCATTCTCTAACTGCAGCCATTTCTCCTCCTGATGGCCTCTTCGCAGCACCGTTGTAAGAGTGGAGGTATGCAGCTCAAACCTGCATATGACTGTCTAAAGCACTGACGAGAATTTCCTAAGACAGTTTAGATTTCCACCAAGAAAGCTTGCTATAATAGCAACAACACTGAATTCCATTATGGGGAATATATTTTTCTTGTAGCTAACCTTTCCAAAGGAAGAAAGAACAACGTATGCAACAATAGCCCTAGTAATTGTGGTAACATCTGCCTCATGACTTCTGTGGTAAAGTCTCTTTCTGTGCTGGAGGTGAGTATTTCAGAGACATCAGGAAAGAGGCCATTCTAGATGCAAAGAATGAAAGGTTGGAATAGGGATGTCTAGTGTGGCACTGAGGAAGCCATAAAGACCCGGTGTCACAGGCTTGATTGAGAACCTGTGGAAGTCACCTGACTCACCTCGATAGTTTTGCAGGTGTCTTCCAGCTGGCTGATCACTCCCTGGACTCGATCGTTGCTGCCCACAAGGATGGCGATGCCATCGCTGAGCTCAGACTAATGAAGAGAAAACACAAACCCAATATCTTAGGGGTTTCCTAGTCACCCCGACTGTGTATTGGTCATAATATTGTCTTTACAGGTTCTTAATTTAGGATCCACGCAACCCCTGGGGAGTAACAGGGACAGCTTGGAGGCCTGTGGACTTCCTGATATTGCAAGCAAACTTTTGTGTATGAATGCATTTGTGCACAAAGAGGTTTTATAGTTTTCATCACATTCTTAATATGGAGATAAACATGTTCAAGGTAAAGAATTCTAAGTATTGTTTATAAATGGCATGGAGCCCAATATGTGACTTCAGGGACCCAAATGGAATTCTTTACCTAGTGGAACTCAGGGTCAGTTTTACTTGGGAAATGTATATAGTAAATCCTCATTTATTTAACATATACTTAATATAGGCATAATAATATAGTATATACAGACGCAAACACATGTTAGACTAAGTCATTACAGACTTTGCACTGAAACAAAGAACTGGTTCTAGGGCAGAAATGTCAACTTTGAAATTCCTTTGCTCTTTTGACTTGGGATGAGATTCCATTGTTCCTACTTCCCCCCCTCCCAAGGCCGGCTGATGGAGCCACCAGGAGCACTGGATGGGCCCTTGGGAGACCCATGTGCCTCATCCAACTCTACTCCCAGCTTCTCTATAATGTTGGGCAAAACATATGTTTGATTTCGACTCTAATTTTCTCACATTTAGAAAGAGAAGATTGGACCAGAACAGTGATTACAAAATATTTTAAAGCTGCAGAACCTTCTTCAAATGAAAGCTAATATGGAGGTGAAGCTGCTTCGGCCAAACAGGAGCAAGGGTGGGAGTCCCACCAGTCTGTCCTTCTCTCCATCTCACAGGAGTTTCCAGGCTCTGAGGGGAGGAGTGTGAAACAGCTACCATCCAGTTCTATCATGCTATGACTTTAGGGGAAGTGGGCAGAAGAGAAGGAGGAATAAATTGTAACTGATTGAAAAATAAACAAATGCTGTGGATAACTTGAAAAATCCTGCTTCTCTAGCACTTAGTGGCCACTGGTTGCAATTGGTGTTGCCCAAGAGCTTTGCTTCCAAATTTGATTCCAACACTAATCTTCACAATAAAACACTGCTTAGTCTAAATGAAAGATACTGAGAGGTGGAACTGCTCAAATTCTCAGTGCCTGGAATGGCTACACCTACTGGAGTACCTGACTCCACTTTTATCTGTACCAAATGGATAAATTCTGACCTGCTCGTGCATGAAACCAGGCTAGCAGGTTGGTAATGTGTTGATGGAGACACTCTCTTTCTCTCGGGTCAGAATTAGGGGGCTATAGCTGAGGCCCTGGGGTCAGGGGGACTCATCACACTCAGAGGGACCTTTAGGCAACTGGCGCAGGTGACAGGAGGGCCAGTACAAGACTGTGTTTTAAAGCTGCTCTATAACGGCACATCACTATTGTAACCCTTCCTCACTAAGAGTGCAGGAGAAAAGGTCTTGAGGAGGGCCAAAGAAACCTTTCATGGGTGGATGAAGGAAAGTATTCTGTGACTAGGGTAAAACACTGTCCTTTTCTTATCTGTAGTCTAAGCTTCATATAATCTTGAGCAGTTTGAGCTTTTGCTGGGTCCCCTAACATTGCTCATCTTCAGCAACCTCCCAAGGGCACAAAAATAGGGACCCTGTCCTTCTGCACCCCTTCCTGAACCTGGGCATACCTGCCCTGTCTGGCCTTTCCCCCCACTGTCCAGGAAATGTAGTGTGTACCTTGTGCACAACTGTGCACATATCTTCCTGCAGACCTTGTGTGCCCTCCAGTGTCCTGTGGCCCTATATGGCTTGGGTTTCCTCCTCCACCACAAGGAAACACTCACGCTGGCCCCAGGAAGGCCCTGAGGAGTGGGGATGGGGATGGGGTGCGGGAGGAAGGGAGCAGCTCTGTTACCTTCTGTCTCTGGAACACATGAGTGAGGGGAGCCACCTGGCAGTCCTTGTGTGCACCAAACACCTTGCACAGGGAGCAGGTGGGCACTTCGCAGTTCAGACAGTAGATGTTGATGCGCTCCTCTTCGTGCTCCTCACACATGGGCTGGTCAGACTTCTTTTCTGGCCTGGGAGGAGTTAGGCAGATGAATGTCCATCAGCTCTCACAGGGACAGAGCAGAGACTGGTGATCTGCCTTGCAAATTCCTTCTCCTCCCTGTATGCCCAGCAACTCTATTCCAGTTCTCCCAGGGGTCCTTTCACGTGCTCAGAGCCCACCAAATTCAGCTTCCCTGCAGGTTTAGCAGTGGGGTGCTGGCAAATCTCTAACAACCCTGCTTGGGGTGGGGACAGAGATGTGGAGATACTGATTTGTACCATTTGCCGGGTTCCAAGGTGTATTTCCACATGGACAATTTTAAGTTATCTAAGGTTTAAGAACCTGCTAGTGAAATTCCTGAAAGTTGAACATCGGACCCTGGTGAGCCATCAGGAAGGTGTTCCGGCACTGTGTCCACACACTCATGAGTTTCTCAAGGGACACTTTCCCATTATGGACAAAGAAGGGGAAGTTGCTGATGAACTGACAGTCAAGTTTGCACCAGCTTTTGGGTGGAGCTAGATCCCACCTCTATAGTCTCTGTCCCCAGAAAACACCCTTTTCACCTGAAGGAGTGAGGATAGGTGTGGCTCACAGGGAACAGAAATCTTCTGATTATTAATTCAAGTACTGGTTGGAAGTAGCTATGTATAAGAGGCAGGTGTGAGTGTACCTCCTTATATAAACCCCAGGAATTCTGATATAGCCTATCTAATGACTGAGGCTGTTCATGGTTTACAGAAGTATTTGAAAAATTCAAATCCAAATCCAGAGGCTTTCTTAAAATTTCCAAACACATAGTTATTTAGCAACATCTTAGATTTGGGACTACATTTTTTTGTTGTTGTTACACAGATCCACTTCTAAACAACTGCAGGTTTTTATGAGCCATGAAATCAATTACTATAGGCCAAGAAATCAATTTAAGGAGTTATGATCAGCATTGTTAAAATAAAAATAGAATGGAATAGCAAATACTGGGAATTACATGTGGTAAGAATAAGTATCGATATTTGAAACTTTTGTTTCAGGTGTATGTGTGTATATATGTGACTTAAACAAAAATGTGTGTGTGTGTGTGTGTATATACATCCATCCATATAAGTGGTCACAACATAAAATGCACTTCCTACTGTGAATCATGATCACAAGTGTTTGAAACCCATTGTTTTTGATGTGTGGTATCTTGTAGCTGCAGCCCCAGAACTCAGAGAAGGGCAGAAAACATGCCGATGTACCTCTGTAATACACTAATATTCCTTTATAAGCTTCTAGGTATAAGTCAAGTACTTGAGATTAGGCTAAACACTGGGAGAAGCCCTAGGTCTCGTAAGAAAATTGCATGAACTTCCAGTTTCAAAATTTTAGAATCTGATCATTGCAAAAGGAATTTCTATCTGGTCTTGCAGCAATATGCTTTCCATGAAGTCTATGACCTTCTGATTTGACCACATATATGGAACTCAAATAAGGAAAGTCAACTCCACAATTGAGAAAATTATCTCCCTGTCAGGTCTGTCTGTTTCCTCCACTAGAATATCAGCTCCATGAGGGCAGGGACCATGATGCATCTTCTTTTTTGCTGCATCTCCAATACTCAGATAAGTGCCCCACATGGAGGCAGTGGCTCAGTAAATATTTGTTGCACAAAGGAGAGAGACAATGAAAGGGAATTTGACCTATTAATGGACGGTATTCCCTGTGCTCTAATGGAACACCACCCAGCCGGAGAAGTCATGGCAAATAAGGGAAAAGCCTAGGGTAACCTGGCACTCCTGAATGGCAGAGGAAGAGACCAGACAACCTCCTGATTACTTCTTTAATAAATGTCACTGCCCTCTGGGGTTTGGACTGGAGAGTTGGTCTCTGGCTGGTCAAAGTCTTCTTCCCCTCTAAACTCTTCCCTCTTAGGTATCTCCACCATGTCATTAACATGGGTTAAGCAAGAGTGGACAGCCTGGGTCCCACATGCTGTTCTGATGTCAACAGCTGTGACCAGAGATAATGTCATAGAGCGCAGGTCTATGCAGTATATGCGAATATTGAAAATGTGAAAACAGCCATGAGGCTCTACATTTAGTTTTGTTTGTGATTCAGTTTATTTTTTTTTTCGCGGTGTTATATACACTGAGAACGATTTCCCATATTCCTCATTGAGTTTTTTATTTCGGTTGTAGCCCAGCCCCAGAAGCACCACCCACTCATAGCTGAGTGTATAATGAAACCTCTGTACAGTTTAAAACATGTGACAGACTTGGGACAGATATGGCATGTAAAAGAAAGACATAAATACATGTTTATGAGGTGAGAGCAGCCAAGCTCACAGCTGTGGTCAGGGCCCAGTGCTAAATGTTGGTCGTGGTCCCTCACCGTTCAGTGTAGGCTGGACTGAGGAGTCTGTAGCCTGCTGTCTCTGGTCTCTGAGATTCCTGGGACCACCCTAGAGTTTTCTGAGGCGTGGGCATCTGGTCTTGGTGAGACAATTCAAGCAGTAGCTTTGCAGTCAAACAGATCTTTTTTTTTCTTGAGATGGAGTTTTGGTCTTGTTGCCCAGGCTGGAGTGTAATGGCACAGTCTTGGCTCACTGCAGTCTCCATCTCCAGGTTCCAGGGATTCTCTTGCCTCAGCCTCCCAAGTTGCTGGGATTACAAGCACCTGCCACCAGGCCCAGCTAATTTTTCTTGTACTTAGTAGAGATGGGGTTTCACCATGTTGGTCAGGCTGGTCTTGAACTCCTGACCTCAGGTGATCTGCCCACCTTGGCCTCCCAAAGTGCTGGGATTACAGATGTGAGCCACAGTGCCCGGCCAAACTGATCTTAAAGCTTTATTCCAGGTCAGCTTCTTCATATAAGGGTCGCCTTAGGCAAGTTACTTAACCTATTTTGTTCTCAATTTTTACTCATATCAAAAATCGGATTAAGGGTCTTCTTATTAAATGAGGCAGAATGAACGTAGGCGTGTATTTATTTATTTATTTATCTATGTATGTATCTATTTATGTATTTATTCTGCTGGAATCCCAGTGAAATGAGAATAAGAAAATAAAAGGGCATAAATCAGTAAGGACAAAAAGTGAGCACAGATGACAGCAAATAAGAGATATCAACCAAATGTTGGAAATTAGGAACGTCTGGATGAATGGACGTGACCTACTTGAGTTGCATCTTAGTTCTGCTATGTTCCTGCAGTGAGAATCGTACAGTAAGCTAGCTGACTTGAGCTGTGAAACCCTGGAAAGGGTCTGGAACTGCAGGAGCCGGGAGTCCTGAAGGCAGAAGTAGGGGGTGACGGAGGGGAAGAGGATGAAAAGAGAAGGACTTTGTGCACATTTTAAGAGATTACTTGAGGATGTGCTCTGTAAAAACAAGAGAGTAAGCCAGCAAACAGGGAGACCTGGAATCCAAGGAGAAAGGAGTTCAACCCATGGGAGAGTAAAGGAATTCCCAAGTAGACGATAGAGCCCAGCCATGTGAGGAGGGCTCAGTTCTAATCGTCTACAGTGGAAAGTCAATAGAAAATATCTGAAATTGAAAAATCAAAGAATAGCAGCATACCAGTAGTATGTACATATCACTGGTGATGAATAGCAGAAAAACAGCTAAAAGAATTAAAAGTGGTTGACCTTGGGGAATGAGACTTGGGGGTAAAGAGAGAATAGGGTGGAGACTGCATTTCTTTTCAGAGGCCTTGTACTGAATTCTCAAAATTGTGTATGTTAATTACTTTAAGACACTAAAAGCTTTAATAGTGTAGTAGTAATTATAATAATCAACATCTCACAGGACTGTTGTGAGAATTAAAGAACTGCACATGATTCATGTGTTAGGCACCCTGAACAGTGCTGGGGCAGTAGTTTACTTGTTATATTTTAAAGTTAATTATTACTATATTAATTATTAATATTAACCAAAACAGTACCTTCTCTTATCAGCTCCCACTCCCAACTGTGGCTAGTCTGGCATCATGTAGAATTCTGGATAAAAATGCCAGGTTTTGTGGAGACCTACAGTCTCCAGCCTTTCTGTAGGAGGTCAGAGTTGATCAATAACATCCAGTCTGTGATTGGCACCCCTTCTACCCACTTCCAATGGCCACAGTTGAACTCTTCTCACTCTGTATATCAAGATCATTCTAGGGTTACCTAACGTACCCTGGGGCTCAAGGTTTTGGTCTAGTAAGGCTGCCTGCCCCCAGGGGACACCTGTGTTTCCTCCCAGACATGTGGCCAAGTGCTCTGTACAACTTGTGGTTTTGCTACCAAGTAAAATTTTCCCACAGGCAAGTTTCAAATTCAAGAAAAAAACAACATAACAAAGTCACAGAAAATCACAAAAGCATCCCTAGTCCACTCAGCTATGAGCTTTATTGTTGGAAATCTGGTTCATTGCTTTCATGTAATTTACTTCCCAGCCCCGGATGCTATTTTTGGCAGCTGCAGCAAGCCAACTTCATAGTTAAGGTAAGGATGTGTTTTGTAGTTTTACTAATACTGCAAATTTTAACATCTCTTCTCTGAATTTTATAACACGTATTGCCATTTTTTCATGTCTCCAGTTCCCACTGTGACAAGCAACAAAACGTAAATTTATTGCAATAAATAGAACATGTAAGAATATTTGTGGTGTTGCTTAATCAGCTCAGATTTATGGGGCAACCATTCAGTGCAAGGCACTGTACTATCTCTGAAACTTGTTATGTAAGAATATTGGTGGTATTGCTTGATCAGCTAGGATTTGCGGAGCAACTATTCTGCGCAAGGCCCAGGACTAGCAATGAAACTCCTGTTATATAAACTCTCTTAATTTTAGGTTGGTGGAAAAGTAATTGCTGTTTTGGCCATGAAAAGTAATTGCAAAAATCGCAATTACTTTTGCATCAACCTAATAATTAATTGGTTATTAATTGGCTGGTTAAGTTTTTAAGAGACAGTGTGTATTTGTATTTTAAAGTAGTGAAACACAATGAAATCAAATCTGTAAAGTAACAGCAACAGCAATAGTACTTTTGTTCTTGTCAAGAGACTTTGGAAGCAAGGGAAACAGCCAGCTGCAATCTCTGCAATATGTCATCAGCAATTCTTTTTCCCCAAACCCATCTAGATCCTGGTACTATCTAATTTAGTTTTGGATCTTTAGCGGAAATTAATAGCTATAATAATTATAATAATTATGTTAGATTTATAGAACAGCTTTCCTTCCAACAGCACAAGCCTCTTAGAGCCCTGCAGATGTTCCATAAATACATGTCCCCTAATGGAATCACAATGAGGCCATTTCTAGATGGTCTCAATATGGCTATTAAGCTTTGTGGACTGGACTGACCTGTGCACAACTGAAAAGGGGCTCTTCACACCGTGCCTTCTAGGAATGAGCGTCCCACGGAGTTGTGTCTAGGAAAGGAATTCTATAGCCAATGTGGTTTGATGAATAAGAAGCCTTTTCTGTTTTTTTTTTAAATGAATGGATAGATATATAATGCTATCACAATCAACAAGTGAATGCTGACTCTGTAGTAAATACAATATAAGGAATGGGGAATCATTACCTGAATTTCATCTTTTTTTTTTTCCTTGTGTCTCTGAATTTTAAGTCCCTAAAGCCAGGGTTTTGCTTGCTTTGCAACTTCCCTTAGAGTAAATTCAGTGACAAACTATGTTGGAGGGTTGTTTTTATTATCATCCAAACAATTTTAAGGCAAGACTGTCTGAACTAGGAACTGGGTATTTTGGAAGATGCCATTTCTATGAATGTTCTGTTAAGTTTTTACTAGGTTTCTTTTTTTCTTTGTAGGGATTTGGAGCTACAAAGGACCTGGGGAGTGCAATAGAGTGTAAAAATGTATGTAATACCAGGCTTTAAGGTGGAGGGAGACAGCAGTAAGTCTCTTTCAACATCGCCATCTGGAATGGATTAGTGTTAATGAATGATTTCATTCTTAAACTGATACAAAAGCATGGGCACCAGCTCCCCTTGCTCCTCCTATGAGCAACTCTACCTTTCATTGGGAAGGACTGACTTGGAAAACCATTTTCCCTTAAAACACATAGTCTTTGATTGATAAAGGAGCATTCAGTGTAGCAACCCATTAAAATAAACAAACAAAAACAAGCTTCAGATGGACTTGACACATGGAAGAGTGTTACCTGGTGGACTCCTGCTTGTAGATGTCAATGATATTTTCCACCAGCAGGTTCCTCTGAAGTCCATATACCCCATGTCTGTCCAAAACCACTTCATGTCTACAGGATGGGCAGCGGAATCGGCCCCCTGATGCCACGGTGGTGCCTCCTCTTGTGGGCAAATACGGGTTAGAGGCCTGTTCTTGCCAAGCAAGAAAAAAGGAATTGGGTAATGCCACAAGTAGCTTCTCTGAGACTTATTTTCACTCTCTGCTACTACAAACAACATGAGCTTCTACTTTAAGCTTGCCATAAGATCATCCCTCAGGGCTTTCTCAGCAAACGGTCCAGAAACACAGGGTCAGACCTAATCCACAGTCATCTGTGAATACACCATTGTCCACACAAAGTGCTTTTCTATCCATCATTTTCAGAACCAAAGTTCCAGCCAGAAAATCCACATTAATGTCTTCAGCAGTTACTCATTTATAGTTTTGAAACATTAAATGGTTTGATTTTTTTTTTAAAGGAAACAAATACTATTCTTAGTCTTAAGATAAAACTAGATTTGGGAGTAAAGAGGAACATAAAGCAAATCATTAGAAGAAAGGTGTTTTTCTTTGAAAGTAAATGCAACCTTTTTGTTTTGTTTTGTTTTTTGAGACAGAGTCTCTTGCTCCGTCGTCCAGGCTGGAGTGCAATGGCGCGACGTTGTCTCACCTTGAACCTCTGCTTCCTGGGTTCAAGCGATTCTCCTGTCTCAGCCTCCTGAGTAGCTAAGATTACAGGCACCTGCCACCAGGCCCAGGTAATTAAAAAAAAATTTTTTTTTAATTTTTAGTAGAGACGGGGTTTCACCGCATTGGTGAGCCTGGTCTCGAACTCCTGACCTCATGTGATCCACCTGCCTTGGCCTCCCAAAGTGCTGGGATTACAGGCATGAACCACTGTGCCTGGCAACCTTATAAAGTTTTTTAAAGGATTTCACCTCAATGTTAAGTACTTAATTCCAAGAGGAGGGAATCTTTTCCACCCCCTCCCCCTGACCAAATTCCAAACAAACCTACCTGGAAAATATCACTGGCACATTTCCTACACAGGTTGTGCTGACAAGGGAGAATGACCACAGGTTTCGTGAACATCTCTAAGCAGATGGGACAGATGAGTTGCTTCTCCAAGTTATCCATGGTCTGCTGCTCTTTGGAAAAAGACTTGTAATTCAGAGATGCGCTCATCTCCGCGCCGTCCCCAAATGCGCTGCCAGGGAAGGGTGCTGCGAGTGGCTCCGGCAAGTGTTCCCTGGATATTATTCCAAGGATTGTGTGATCAAGTGTCCTTTACGTTTCTCTCAGTGGAGGACATTGTTTCAGGCCCTGGTTTGGAGTGGGTGCCAGAGCTGTTTTTAGCAGCCTGCGGTCACGTGACAGTAGACTGACTTGTCCATATAAGCCAGTGACAGCAGGATGGATCCTGACAGGTGATGGAGAGCAGGAGTCAACATTCTTACCCCAGGGAGTGAAGAGAGTGGGTGGGAAGGAGGATTACGATCCCCATTTAGATGGGGGTTGTGAGGAGAAGGAGGTCGAAGCTGACAGTTGTCAACAACAAATGCAAATGTGCATGCCTAGCCCCTGAGCCATGCCCTCTGTGAACGCTCACTGTGAACTTGGTGACAGCTTCTCCAGGAAGGGGCAGAACACAGCCCGAGCGTCTGACTGTGTAACAAACACCAGCCCTGTCTTGTGAGTGTAGGAACTGAGTCGAAAGTAGCCTGAGAGCACCTTCTTAGGTGAAAACGAGCAAAACATGTCTTGAAAATTGCTATTCTGGCTTCATAAGGGCAATCTTCAAAAAGACTCTCTTAATGTTAAGTATTTCATCTTTGCCAGCTGGGGTTGTGGTCTTTGAAAAATTCCAATTTAAAAGCTAAGTTGAAATCCTTTCACCATAAAGGTATCGACCAAATAAATACATACGGACATGAAAATTGAAAACCAGTGGATGGTCTGGTTATTTGAGAAAAAAGTTATATAATAAAACAACTCTAGTTTGCCGTTTTCTCTTTCATCTTCCTTGGACCTCTTTCATCCTACACTGCCCCATCCCCCTACACACACCCAGAAACACAAAGAAAATTTGACAGTCTCTTACTGATTATTTAAATTCTTAAATTATGTAATAGTTTGCAACAGTTATCAGTAATGAGGTAGCAACTGACAGGGGCCTGGGGGTGGCAGATCTATTATTTCATTTTGTCATCCCTTGGGGGACAGATACCAGTGCCATTGACAATTGAAATATAAATAGAGTCTTGCTTCCATACCTGCATTTCATCTGCCTCTGAAATGCCCATACTCCCATGCATTTCCCCGTCCTCCAAGGTGACTTTTTAAACCATAGTTTCCCTGGTCATTTCTGACATTCTTGGTCTGCTCTTGAGTCATAAACATTGATTGTGACATTCACCAGGATTTTGTGAAGCAACAGTTGAACCAATATATATAGTATTAAATATTGTTTAAATCAGATCAAAAATGAAAGAGAAATCCATGTCTGTTTATCTGTGATGAATTTGGGCTTTCTTTCTCCTTAATTTTAAAAACTCTGGACAATGAACTATTTTGTTAACGTATCCCTAGTGTGAACTTAATTGTCAGTAAAGTGTAGGTCAGTATGACTGGTTATGTGTGGTGTTAATGCTGTATGCATGGAAGGCTTATTGAGAATCTAATAAGCTCATTAACTAATAAGTTATATATATTCATAAACATATCAGGGATCTGTTTGTAGAGAATTATCTTACTCCTTTCAATATTTATTTAGCAACTACAATGAGGACGGGAACTGGTAAAATTTTTTTACTAAGTTACTTCAGTTCACCCAGCCTAGGCACTTAATTGTGTTTATCATTTCATGGGCTATGGAGGGGAGATCTGATCACAATATGTTAGCTATGTTCTAGGAAAGATTAAATTTCTACTGCAAGAGACTTTGCAAAGGCAAAGCACTTAAACTAATCATGCACAGTGTAGCAGAGTCTTTTCTTGTAGAAGGAATTCATTCCTTCAAAAAATATTCATTGGATATCTGTAGTGTCTCTCCATTGTGTGAGGCTCTGGGGATTAAAAGATGAACAAGACACAGGTCATTGTCCTCAAGGAGCTCAGTCTAAGAGTGGAGATGAGACACGCACACACAGAACATAGTACACAATAAAATGTGATAAAGAGTGCCAACCAAAAAGTATTTTAAGACAGGTCTCAATCAATTGAGAAAGTTTGTTTTGTCAAGGTTAAGGGTACGTGCCAGGAGGCAGGTCTGTGCCTTTCTCCAAAGATGATTTCGAAGGCTTTAATATTTAAAGGGAAAAGGTGGATATTGGGGACAGAGAAAAAAATTTTTAAGTTGTGAATAGATAAGGGACAAATGGTTGCATTCTTTTGCGTCTTTGATCAGCCATTCACCAAATACATAATTTACATGTGGGGGCTGGGTAGTGGGTAGAGGAATAATAGTCATTTATGTCTTCCTTTAGCTCAGCGAGTCTGCATTTCTACATCAGAGGAAGCAATCAGATATGCATTCGTCTCAGGTGAGCAGAGAGATGACTTACTTAGAGTTCTGTCCTTTGTCCCATATCTGTGAAGATAAGCTGTCAGGGTAAAATTCAATAAAACTGTTTTAGGGTAAAGATATTGGGACCCGTAAGGAATTTCCCAGTGTGCAAATTGTTAGGAAGGTATGCAGCTCTTTAATCATTGTAGCTATCTTATTTAGGAATAATGTGGGAGGCAGGTTTGCCTGACGCAGTTCCCAGCTTGACTTTTCCCTTTGGCTTAATGATTTTGGGGTCCCAAGATTTATTTTCCTTTCACAACAGCTAGAGCATTTCAGGGTTGGAGGAATCAGAAGGGCTTCATGGGTAGGGGTAGTGTTTGAACTGCTGCACCGAGAATCTCAGAGGGATAGATGTGTAGTTAGGTGATGCATGGCTGGGGCTTTCCAAGGGAAGGCACAGAAGCAGCAACGTGGGCATGCATAGGTGTGCAGGGGATCTCGGGGCCACAGTGGCTTGAGCTGGAGTGTGGGTATGCTGCTCAAGCATTGGCTGGCCATGATATTGTGCTTAAGAGTTTTTAACACTTAATAAATTAAGCAGCAGGAAGTCATTAAGTTTCTCACTGAGACACTTCCATGAGAGCAGTGGCTAGTTAGATTGATCTTGCAGTGATGATTGGGTTAGATTAGCATGAAGGTGACTAGCTAAAAACCAGATCAGAGGCTGTTGCCAATAGTCCAGGTGAGAGGTCATGAATCCCTGGCACAGGTGATGCCAGTTGGGAAGGAAGGATGAAATGATCCCTGGGGCTGCTATGAAAGTAGAATCCACAGAGATGACTCGGATGCCTGAGCCTGAGTGACCGATGATACAGTGAGAGGCTGCAGAGTGAGTCAGAGACAGGCAGGCTTTCTCTCAGCTTCTACATCTACCTCGCTTTGTGGTCTTGGAAAGTGACCTCACCTAGCAGGATTTCAGTTCTGTCATCTATAAGTGAGTGGGGTCCATAACCTAACTGAGCAGTATTTGTAGGAAAAAACAACTCTGAAACAGTATTTTTTTTAAGAGACAGAGGGTCACTCTGTTGCCCAAACTGGGGTGCAGTGGCATAATCATAGCTCACTGAAACCTCAAACTCCTGAGCTCAAGCAATCCTCCTGCCTCAGGCTCCTGAGTAGCTGGGACTACAGGTGTGCACCAACATGCCAAGCTAATTTTTTTAATTTTTTTCAGAGCCAAGAGTCTTGCTATGTTGCTCAGGCTGGTCTTAAACTCCTAGCTTCCAACCAACCTCCTGCCTTGGCCTCCCAAAGCTCTGGGATTACAGAGCTGATCTTTGTCTTCCTCTCTCTTTTCTTTCTCTCTGTTCTTTCTTGCTCTCTGCCTTTTACTTTTTCTTAGAACTGTCCCTGGAGGCTACACAGGAAACCAGCATGAATCCCACAAGACTAAGAGTCCAGTTGATGAATGTCAATGAAAAAGAGTAAAATTCTGTAAAATATTGGAAAAGATTTACTCTGAGACAGATATGAGGACCTTAACCTGCGACAGCCCCATGAGATCCTGAGAACAGGTGCCCAAGGTGGTTAGGCGAAAGTTTAGTTTTGTAAGTTTCAGGGAAACATAAGACACCCTCCCCTCCTTTAAAGTGGTCCAGTCTCCCAGATATGTCTGGGTAAATGAGATGGGTCCCTAAGAACCTGAGTGTGCATCCAATACTGGATGTGATGCTGAAGGGTAACAACAGAAAGAGAAGGCTTTTGACCTCTTCCAAGCTGTAGCAGCCAGGCCAAATGGAACTAGGCTTTTTCAGGGGCCAGGACCCAGGAATGAGATGTAGATCTGCAATGGAAACTCTGACACGACTTACCTGAAGTTAGGCCAAATTTCACAAGTAAAGGGCACGGTCTTTACTCATTTCAGACACAAGCAACAAACTCTGGGGTTCCCAGGTCCTGCACTTCTGAGCAACTGGCTACAAATTTGGGAGTTCCCCACTACCTCCTTAGTTTTGGTAGAATGACTCACAGTACTCAGGAAAACATTATATTTATAATTACGGTTTTATTAGAGTAAAAAAGAATATAAATTAAGACTGGCCAAAAAAAGAAATGTGTAGGGCAAGGTTGCAGGGTATCCCAAATGTGAATTTCCATGCCATCTCCCAGTGGAGTCAGGAGACATCACCCTCCTGGCACAAGAATATGTAACAGAGTGCTGTTAACCAGGGAAGATCAACTGAGCCTCTGTGTCCAGAGTTCTTATGGGGGTTTCATTATGTAGGCATGATTGATGGAATCACTAGCCATGTGACTGCTCTCAATCTTCAGCTTCTCCTTGCCTCCCTGGAGGTTGGACTGACATCATGTGGCTCAAAGCCCCAAGATTCTCATCTCATGGTTGGTCTTTCTGACATGGCCAGCCCCCATCCTCAGTGCTCTCATTAGCATAAACTATCAGGGCCCATGATGAATAACAAAGGTATGTCTGTCACTTGGGAAATTCTAAGGATTTAGAGGCTCCCACTCAGGGACTTGGGACAAAGGCCAGCTAAGATCTTTATTACACAATAAGAACTCAGTGTGTTTTTCATCTAAGGAAGGTAGAAAAAAGGATGCTAAAATTATTTTCACTACTATATCATCACAACAAATATGATAAATATGCCCTGAGTACCCATCACTTCATATCATAGTGCCCCGTCTCAGGTATTATTATCTCCACTGAGTCAATTGTAGCTAAGCAAGTTAAGTAGTTGCCCTGAGTCATGTGGCTGCTAAGTTGTGATGCAGACTGAGAGACACATCTTTTGAATACAGAGCCCATGACCTCACCCACTAAGCTGCACCACACCCAGGCTTTAGAGGGGCACTGTCCATAAGAATTTCCGCTGATGATGGAAATATTCTATATCTGTGGTGTCCAACCTCTAGCCACATGTGGTTCTTGAGTACTTGGAATGTGCATAGTGCAGCTGTGAAACCAAATTTTAAACTGTATTAAATTAAATTAATATTTAAATGGCCACATGTGGATAGTGGTTATCATACTGGACAACCAGCCCTAGACCATGAGATATAAAATAATATTGGGGGCAAATTCAAATGCATATGAAGAATTGACCAACAAGAACTGGGTCACCATCTTTTGGTGATTTTGTACTCTCTGGCTAGAGTGATATGAATCCCCACTGGCTCCAGAATGGTCAGAAGAGCAGCACCAATTCTTCATTGTAACTGTCAAAATAGATCAGAGCATTCTGAGAACAGGAGACATTAGAAAATCCCAAGGAATCCTGAAGATTCCAGAACATCCTTGGCATTTCATTGACCCATGTTCTCTTTTGTCTCTTTGGTGCAGGCAATTGGAAATCCAAGTACTTGAAAATAATCCAGGCTTAGTTTAAGGAGCCATTCGTTTATGAAACAAAACAGGGAATGTATGGTTAGATGGAGAGCAGAGCTAAAAGGAAATAAAAAACAGATAGGGTTTGAAGCAAAACAGTGAGACAGAGAGAGTGCAGTCCCGGTGAAAGAGAAAACAAGAGGAGTCAGAAAACTGCTCTTGCTCCTGGCTCAGCCTCTAAGGTAAAAAGGAAGACTAATTCTTACTTTCTTTTGTCCACTGGAAGTGAGAAAGGGGGTGGCTGACTGAAGAATTAAAACAGGGAAAGAACATCTGATGATGTGGATGTGGAGGCAGATAGTTGGTGATTGCTGAAGAAGGGAGTTTGGTTGGGCTGGAGCACTAGGGCACCAGTGGACCAAGACTTTCAGGTCAACTCCAGCACCAATTAAATCTGAAAATTATTTTAATCCCATGCCAAAACAAAGGTCAACACTTAATCTTGTGCAGACCAGGTCCTCTTAAACTAAGCCAGTAAGGTTGTTAATTCTTCCTGCAATATTCATGCATGCATGCATCTACCCATCCATTCATCCATCCACTCCTTTTTTAGTGAGAACACCACTCCTGACCAGTGGAGACAGGGCCACACTTCATTTGGGATTTCAATGAGCTGATGTTCAAGCACCAGGCTCTGCTACCAGTCTTGCCAGATATAACCCATCTGATGACAGAAGACATAATGTTATTTCCTTTGGTATCCTAAAGCTCAGGATGAGCCCAGATAAAGCACTTTCTAACCATTATTTGGCTTAGAAATTTTCTTCCATGTAACAACTTTAAAAGTTATTCCAAAAAATATAACCTTAAATTCTTTTCATACAAAGATTCTTGCCATCCCCTTGCACTGAGGACTTGACTCATGACATCTACAAAATACTTAATGTTTTCCCTCTGTGTCATCAGTCTTTTCTATTTAGCAGTCTACCTGTCAATAGGTAGCTTGGATATGTGATTTTTAAATTTTTAATGAAAAGAAACATCTTATGAAATCTAAAATCAAAGAGAAATGAACTTGAAAAGCACTTAACAGCAGCAAACACTGTGGCATTTCTTTCATTAGATGATTTGCAAACTTCTGCTTGAAATCTTTTGCTCATTTAATAATTACTCCTTCAAATCAGTTGTTTATAAATTTTACTTTGTCATAAAGATCTCTGAGGAAATGGTAGAAAATGAACATATTTTGCTTTCCTCGGAACACTTCTTGGAAATAAGAAATACTCATTATACATGTGCCAGAAATAAACAGCAACAGTCGCAAAAAGTAGCAAATACTTTAGTCCAAGGTCTTCCCAATGGCCCATGTCTGAACCCCACACCTTGGCTCTACCTTCACCCCCATATCCACTCCCCACTTCCCCTCCACCCCAGCCTCCCAACTGATTTCTCTAATTCACTCTTGCCCTTCTGCAATCCACTTCTTAAAAGTCACTCCTTATTTAAATCCCATTAATGACCACATCACCTCTGGGATAAAGACATTAATCCTCTAAAGAAAATGTGGCACATATACACTGTGGAATACTATGCAGCCATAAAAAAGGATGAGTTCATGTCCTTTGCAGGGACATGGATAAAGCTGGAAACCATCATTCCCAGCAAACTAACACAAGAACAGAAAACCAAACACCGCATGTTCTCACTCATGACTGAGTGTTGAACAATGAGAACACATGGACACAGGGAGGAGAACATCACACACAGAGGCCTGTTGGGGGGTGAGGGGCTAGGGAAGGGATATCATTAGGAGAAATAACTAATGTAGATGACGGGGTGATGGATGCAGTAAACCACCATGGCACATGTATATCTATGTAACAAACCTGCACGTTCTGCACATGTACCCTAGAACTTACAGTGCGTGTGTGTGTGTGTGTGTGTGTATACATTTATACATTAATCATCACTGTGGTCCCAAGACCTGATGTGATCTGGCCCTTGCTTATTTCTTTGACTTGCACTATCCAAAGAAATAGATGTATGTGACAAATATGAACCATATACATGATTTTAAATTGTGTAGTAGGCACATTTAAAACATCTAAAAACTAATTTGAAAAGATATTATATTTTACTTAACCCCAGAACATCGAAAATATTATAATTTCAACTTGTGACCAATATTTTTCAAGTGAGATGTGCACATAGAGATACTTTTCCCTCTTCCTTTCCTATATGGAGGTCTTTTACTTCATTTCCTTTGCTTTATTGCCCTGGCGAGAGCTGAAAACTCAGAATGAAAACCGTTGCCTTGGTCTTGATCTTAGGTGGAAAGCACTGTTCTTTAATATTAAATATAATGTAAGGTGCATGTGTCTCACTGATGTCCTGTATCAGGTTGAATAAGATCCCTTGCCCGCCAATTTGCTGACAGTATCAAAGGGCAGGAATGGATGCTGAATTTGGTCAAATGCTTTTTCTGCATCTGCTGAGATGATCACATGATTTTTTTTCTTTAATCTGTTTAATGTTACTAATTTGAATGTTGAGCCAGTCTTGTATTCTGAGATAAATCTCACTTAGTCATGATGTATTTTCCTTTTTATATTTTGTTGGATTTACTTGGCTACAATTTTGTTGAGAATTTTGCATCTATATTCATAAGCTATATTGGTCTGTAGTTTTCTTTTTCTGCAATGTCTTTGCCCGATTTTGGTATCTTCATAGAATGAATTGGAAAGTACTCATAGAATGAGTTGGAAAGAGACTTCACAGAATGAGTTGGAAAGTACTCCCTTTTCACCAATTTTTTTTTTTTTTTGGAAAAATGTGTGTATTTTTTTTCTTTCTTAACTGTTTGGTAGAATTCACTACTGAAGCCATCTGGGCCTGGTGTTCTTTTTATGAGAGAAATAAGTTACAACATGTAAAGTACCTAGAGCTGTAACTGGCTTGTAGGAAGTGCTGGGTAGATGTGAGCTGTTAATTTTTTTAAAGTCATCCATATTTCCAATTTTAAAACAATGTTTATTTCAGAAAACTTAGAAAATAATTAAAATCTTAAGGAAAAAAATACCACAGTAATCATATTACCAAAGATCACTACTGTTAACATTTGTGCATGTTTCCAGTCTTTTTATTTATTTATTCTTAGACAGGGTCTCCCTTTGTTGCCCAAGCTGGAGTGCAGTGGTGCAATCACCTCTCACTGCAGCCTCCACCTCCCAGGTTCAAGAGATTCTCCCACCTCACCCTTCTGAGCAGCTGGGATCACAGGGACATGCTGCCACACACAGCTAATTTTCGTATTTTTTGTAGACAGGGTTTCACCATTTGCCCAGGCTGGTCTCAAACTCCTGAGTTCAAGGGATCTATCTGCCTTGGCCTCTCAAAGTGCTGGGATTACAGGCATAAGCCACCATGCCGGCCTGTTTCTAGTCTTTTCTATAAATAACTTGTGCTTGTTTATATTGCTTATTGTTTATATTGCTCTATATCTACTTTATTGGCTTAGCATTTGATTGTTAACATTTCCCATGTCAATACAGGTTCTTAACAAACACAATTTCGAGGGCTATATATATTTCATTACATGGCCACACCATAATATATCTAACCATCATATTGTGTTTTTAGAATTGTTCTTCCTACTTTCCTTACACAGTAGATCTTTCTACTTTCAAGCACCTCTTTCTAAGCACTTCCATATATATTTATGTAAATGCATATACCAACCCTTAGAATAATTCCCCCAGGCCTTCCCCATATGATGCTATGCTTGCCAGGTCTCTAGGTGCTGAAATGTGTCCAAATCTCTGCAGTTTGCCAGGGAAGTGACACTTTATGTTTATGTTTCTTCCTTCCTTGCACACTGATAACAGCTAATGCTTATTGCACAGTTACTAAGTGCCAGGCACTGTACTAAGGCCTTTACATGTTATACCTTAATTAAAAGTAGGCATTATTATTATATCCCTGTTTGAAGAACAAAGACAATGAAGCATTGAGATGTCAAGCAACCTGTAGAAGTAGCAAAGCCAAGAAAGGCCATCAGGTTTCACAGCCTGCCTGACTAACCACCATGCAGTACTGCTACCTGATTTGTACCTTTGAGCTTTGTACATGAATTCCATTCCCAGCTTTTGGTTGCTGACTCTGAGATGCTGCTTCAATTCTGGCCCGGGTCACCTCCCCCAAACATGTGTCCTCCACTGGGTTTTGGGTGCATTCCTTCCTATTCCTTTGACTTATTACTTACTTCTTGCTCTTTCAGTCACTTAAAGTTTCACTGCCAGTTCTTCCCCTCAGCCAGCTAGAAAACCCAGAATCCCAAACTAGAAACTGCGATGTCATCTGATAAAGGCATTCTTTTTCTTACTTTGTAAATATGTTTTAATAAACATCATGATGTTATATTTCAAGTGATTTACAATACATTCAATTAAAAAACAAAAATAATAAAACGCAAAAATGGACCACCCTAGAAAATGAAAGATAGCAATAAACCATAGCATGTTGTATACACTGGTAACAAAAGCATACAGGTAGCCTAGGACCCTAAAGAAATGTCATTTATTTAATGCAGTCCTCACAAAAGATGATACTGTATTTCTGCCTTTGTGTGGAAGATTTGTGTTTTGTCTTGTGAGAACTGTGGGGTGGCTTCAACAGCTTTTTTTTTTTCTAGAAAAATTAGGGTAGAGAGATTTTATTTCCAGAAAAGTGTTTGTGTTCTGTTCAACCTCTGAATCCTTTAGTGAGTGTGTAAATGTGTGTTAGGATTTTATTCGTTTTGTTTTTGTCTTGTCTTTGCTTAACAAAATTACTCTCAAGGGCTGCCCTAGATAGAACTTTTATCCAATTAATACTCTCTCAGCGCTAGTTTCTAGTTAACTCTCCACAGTTACTTCCCTGGAGGACAATGATGTTAGAACCTCCTCCAAAAGCAGCCCCTGTGTCCAGGGAGTTTATCCACTCACTTCTCCAGGGCCACCTTTTGCTTTATCCTATCCACCTCATATCTGCCCAGAGCCAGGCAGCCTGCCATGCGGACTTGAGATGAAGCCGAACAGTTCCTCGGCTGAGCAAACGTTCAAAGTAATCAGCGTCCGTTTCCAAGTTCTCTGTTTCTTGTCTTGTTTTCCCTGTGGGTCTCCCCGAACTATGGGCAGCTTAGCCTCAGGTGAGTCCCTGGAAATGTAGACATCTTATTACAAATCATAAAGGATTCGGAGTGACGGCAATCTGTCGCCATTTTTGAAGCAAAAATAACCAGTTTCGTGAATTTCCCAATTAAATGGGTCTAGAAATTTAGAGCTAGAAGGATAAACTGCTAGTGTCCACCATTCCTTGTGTGGGACGTTTTAGAGAGGTAACGTGGAGCTCACCCTTCCCTTCACTTGCCTTTTCAGCTCTAGTTTGAGCTTAGAGAATCGAAAGAAAAACCGTACAGGACAAGGAAGAAAACTGGAGGATGCGGGCATCGATCCCGCTACCTCTCGCATGCTAAGCGAGCGCTCTACCATTTGAGCTAATCCCCCACCGCTGGGCACGGCTGGTTATCTGTTCCTCTAGAGAAGGGTCAGAGCATTGAGCGCTGAAGACAGATTTCTTTTGTCCAAGGCAACAAAATAAAGGTATCTCTCCTTCGAGCCGGAATCGAACCAGCGACCTAAGGATGGCCACGGGCGTGCACCTACAGTCCTCCGCTCTACCAGCTGAGCTATCGAAGGGAGAGGACGAAATACCCTGGGTGCCGCCTTCTCTCATAATATTGTGTCAATTTTAGGCTTCACGTTTTTAGTATTGTGTTCTCTCTTCTATTCCTAGGTTCCGGGAGCCCAGATACCCCTTCCCGCGGACCTCCCACCTCCTCACTGCAGCCGCTGCGAGCCCTCGGATGGCAGAAGCTGCCAGTGGCTCTGAGGAGAAGGTCCGGCCTGGCCCCCTGGAGCCGGCGCTGCCTCCTGTATGACTCGGGGACCCGGGCAATGACAAAGACGGACTAGGAACACACAGAAGCCGTGACCCGGCAGTCGCTCAGCCGAGCGCAGACCCACAGCTGCGCTGGGAACCTGCCCGAACAGGTCCCCGAGCGGGGGAATCGCAAAAAATAATTCCCGCGCAGGCTAGGAGGCCCAAAAAGTGGAGAAAGCGCTAAACTTTCCCACTGCTCGTTGAAATGCAATGTGTCATTGAAGGAACCCAAAGAAAGGGCCATAAGTCATCGGAAGCTGCAAAAACCTACGCTCGTCTCCTTCGAGCCGGAATCGAACCAGCGACCTAAGGATGTCTTCTGCCGAGGAAGTAGCTACAGTCCTCCGCTCTACCAGCTGAGCTATCGAAGGGACGCGTAATTGCGCCTGCGTCTCTTGAAGTACAACACAGAAAAACCTAAGGGCCAGTCCAGGCAGGCGGAGATTGCACTGAGCATGCGTAATCCGAGGAGCGCAGCGCCCCAGAGCCGGCCTGTGTGGTCTACGCGTGCGCAGAAAGACAGCGCGCCCTGGCTCGCGTGCCTGACTGAGCTGGGAGAGGCAGTGAACCCGAGTGTCTGGGGCCGGCGGTGCCGAGACCCTGCGACTCCACTGTCGCCTCTTGTCGTACTTTACCAGCCTGCATTGTCCTTTAAAGTGGTTGCCGAGTGTGTTCTCAACACGCTGTAATCCAACCGCCAGTAGATTTCGCGTGAGGTACCAGTGGCGCAATGGGTAACGAGTCTGACCGTGGATCAAAAGATTGCATGCTCGGCTCCCGTTTTTGTCGCCCGAGGTAAACCAGAAATCATTGATCTCCTCTGGCGTCCTCAAACCGCGGATGCAAGCAGTTTGGATTTCTGCAGTGTTGCACTTTGACCCCGGGAGGCCTTACCGGCGCTGCCAGTCCAACTCCCGCGGGGTGAAGGGAAGGCCCCTAGAGCTCTCCGGACGAGAACGCCCCCGGCCTGCAAGCCCGGTTAGGAAGACGCCACTGAAGCCCGCGGTTCTGTAGAGAGAGCTAGTTCCACCGCAGTTGCTTTAAGAAGTCAGTCACTAAGTTCGTAGATAAAGTCCCCTCACCAACTCCTGGCTTTACAAAGAGCGGGAAGAAGATTAAGATGACCTAAAATGTCTTTTCGATCTGGTTATTTTATGTTTAATTTTAACAGAGGTATTCGATTTCAGATAGGCCTTCAATCCTGCTGGAGAATGGCTTAAGCAGAGTAGATTTGCCAGACTAGAGTCTGTGAAGTGGTATAGGGCTAGGGAGCAGGGCAGAGTAGAGCATAATAGAGATGGAGGGAACAGGAAGGTCACCCTACCCAACTCAGTGAGTTCGTCCTTGAGTTGGCAGGTTGGGGGATCTTGGGCCAGCATGGCTGTTCCCCACCCGTGCACTACAAATGCAAAGCCTCATTGTCCCCAGGACACAGCCATTTTTACAGATATCAATGTATTCTTTCGTGTTGTGTTTACCAGATTTGGGGGAAAATAACAACTTAAAAAAGAAAGTCCATGACTGTAGAGCCTACTGTATATATTATTTATTGTCTTCTTATTGTCTGTTTGCCCTTCCAGAATGTGTGCTCCACCAAGATAGAGATTTGTGTCTGCTTGGCTTCCTGCTGTATCTTCAGCTCTAGAACAATGACTGTCATATAGTACAAATGAAATAAATATTTGGTAAAAGAATAAATGTGAGCCGGGCACAATGGCATACACATCTTATTTAATATTTATATGTGCATGGCAGTCTTTATAAGAAAAACGAAGACCCAAAGACATTAGGTCCAAAAGCTTATGTACCTTTTTAAACAAAGAATGATAAATATTAGGGATGTGACAAGACAAAGGGGCTTGGGCTGGGGATAGTAAACTGTGGGGTTTTGAGTGGCTGGGGCATTGTCCAATGTCAAATAACTTTTTAAAAGGTAATACGTTACTGGCACATAGTAAGCATAATATATGTTTCCTATTTTATCTTTGAAAGTTTTCTTAGCACTATCTAAACATTCTGGAAAATTATAGCAGGAAGTTTATGTATCAGAATTTTTAAAATCACAATTTTTAGTACTAGCTACTCTAGAATGACTTTAAAAAATTTTTAAAAATCCAACTTTTCACTTGATTACTATTGCAGTTAATGGTTAGTCAGAGAAAAGAAGGTGGCAGAGACATAGCTGCCATGATCACAAAGATCTCCCAAGTAAGGAGGTGCTGGCGGGGGGGGGGGGGTGGGGGGGGGTCTCGGGGAGAAGGGAGGGAATACATAGTCGGAGGGGAAGGAGTGGGAGTGAAGTAAGAGATATAGGAAGTCTTCAGATTTGCTCTTGAGGAAGTCACAGGGAATTAACAAGAGAGATTCCTTAGAGAATCTCCTTGAGTTGCAAAGGGCTATTGAAGACAGAGGTAGATAATAAAGGGAGTGACAGAATGAGTATATTCTCTTGAAAGTAAGAGAACTCTGGGAAAGAATTGGATGGGGAGTTGGGAGGAGAGTAGGATTCATTTTCAAGAACAAATGGAGTTGCAAACACAAGATCATCCTGGAGAGGCGATAGAGTGCAGCTATTAATATCGTGGCCTCAGGACCAGCCTGCTCTACTCCTTAGCTGGGTGATCTTAAGTAAGTTACTTATCTTTCTGTGTTCCAGTTGCTTAGTCTAAAAAATGGCAGATGATGATGGTGACAGTACTTGTCTCACAGATTGTTGCATTAAATGAATCAATATAAAACTCTTAGGGCAGTGTGGTAATAAGCATGAAAACTATTGGTTATTAATCTTTTAGAAATTTCATTTTTATGAAATAAGTCATCTTCCTCAAATACAAATAAGTGTGCCTATGAACCTAAAGCCAACACTTTCAAATCCTCTATTTTGGGGGATGGGATGTGGTGGTAAGAGGTAAAAGAAAGAGCTAAGAATGCAGAAGATGAGCAGGAAAGTGACTCATTTTATTTTGTTAAAACTTTACCCTTTGACTCAGAATAATATGTATCTTTCAAGTTTTGGTAGTTAAAAAAATTTAATTTTCTAGTATGTTACACATTGGTTTTTAAAAAAGAATTTCCATGGCAAATACAATAATTTGTTTTTTGAAATGAAGGCATTTTATTTAAAACTATTATGCTAAGAAGCTGGGTGCAGTGGCCCACACCTGTAATCTCAGCACTTCGGAATGCCAGGGCAACACCTGCGGTCAGGAGTTCAAGATCAGCCTGGCTAACATGGTGAAACCCCAACTCTACTAAAAATACAAAAATTAGTTGAGCATGGTGGCATGCAACTATAGTCCCAGCTACTCGGGAGGCTGAGGCAGGAGAATTGCTTGAACCCAGGAAGCGGAGGTTGCAGTGAGACTCTGTCTCAAAATAATAATAATAAATGAATCAATGTATAAACAGTTTTGTTTTCATTCTAGGTATTCTAGAAGACTTATTCTAAAAGAATTAAGATATATATGTGTGTTTTGGTAAAGAAAAACGCACATGTATGTTTTATCATGGTTTAATGTAAGACAGAAAAAAAATAAATGGATGATTCACGGAACTTTTTAAGAAGTCTCCCATTCTGGCAGCACAGTGCCCAGAATAGGTAGTGAGCCGCTAACACAGGTTATTCATTGGATTGTCTGTGACCAGTGCTGAGGCTCACACTCAGCATTTTTCTTCTTGCCTTGACGCTTCCCTGCTAAGATGCTTGTGGGTTCAAAATGACTGCCAGTGCTTCTGGGTAGCACTTCTGTTGACCCCCACAAGATACTTCAGCAGTTCCTCTTCTGATGAAGAGTGGATTCTTGTTTCTCTGTAGCTGAAGGAGCATTCTGCAGAATTCATTCCCTCATTCATAGGCATTCTTGTGCTTGCATTTGTCACACATCACTGTAATCAGAAACTAGCCCTTTGTGAGGAACTGGCCAGAACCCCTCTAGCAATTTGATTCTATCATCTGATTCTGATTCTGATCCCTGCCCTGTTCTCATTTTAACCACTCTTGGACCAGCCTCCTGGGTGAGCTGGGAGTGGAAACAAAAAATTCCATGTGAGAAAGGAAAATGAGGTCTGGGTGATAAAGAGAAGGAGAGGTTTGTGATTTGTAAGTTGTTTTTCAAAATAGCCGTGACCTTTTGCTTAAAAAGATGACAGGAAGGAAATGGAATGGCTCAAATTGTTCGCAGATTGGGCTATTTATCCTATTGTTTCCTCCAAATGGAAAGTAGTATTTGTTTGTTGAGTACAGTGTTCCAAGCACTTGCTGGTTACTGGAGCTGTTAATACCGGGTGTCTCCATGGGTCTTGCTGGGTGACAGAGTTTACATGCATGAAGAGCCACAGTACATTTGTCTGTGTGTGTCAACATATACAAATTCATTTAAAACCACCTTATATTTATTACACATTTGACTTTTCAGATTTCTCTCACTTATGTCATTTTATCTGGTCATCCAGCAACTTGAAAGGTGGTCAGGGCAGATATGAAAACAGAGCCATAGAGAGATTAGCCATGTTATTCTCATCTCACTTGGCCACAAGGCTGGTTAATGAGAGCTTAGATTGGAACCAGGTTTCTAAACTTTCAAACCAAGCCTCTGTCTACTTGATTACATAGAAAAAAAATTTCAGTAACTCAAGAGTTAGAGCAGAATTTTAATGACTTCAGAACTGTCAGAGCTATAACACTAATTCTCACAATATATATTTAGCAGCAATTGACAATAATTTGGTGGTGGGGGGAATAAGAAACAAGAAAAAAAGGCATTTTATACAATATTATATAAAAACATAACAAGCTTTTGAAAATGCAATATTACATAAAGAAGTAAGAAAGACCTAGAAAAACAAACACTTTTGCTGTCACAGTAGTTTAGAAATAGCACATGGTTTCTACCACTTAATAAATGTAAGAATCAAACAAGTAAATGCAGAGATGACCTCTGGGCTTAAATTGTGTAACATGCACAGAGCAGAGCAATTTCTGGTCAAGGTAATTAATTTTAACATAAATGATGTGATACGGATTTTGGTGTGAATTTAGGCTATGCAGTTTAGAACTTTACTCCTTCTTGTGTTTTTTTCCCCCTTAGTCTGGCTAATTCGACCTAGTTATACAAAAATTATTTTATTAGAAAGTGATCAATATGCTGATGGGGGCTGCTTCAGACTCAGGATGATTTTCTGGATAATTTACAACATTTAACCAGGTTGCAGTTTTGTTTTGTTTTTAAGCCATTCTACAAATACACACAAAACCTGTCTCTTCATGGTTTTACTTACCAATTTTTAGTAAATGCAAATTTTTAACATTCCAAAAACATACCTTAAAATAATGTAATTTGTTTTTTAAAAATTTAATCATTCCTTTCTGCCTCTTTAAACATTTCTATAACTTTATTGAATATTGACAGGAAAGAGGTTCCACACACAAAAACTGTAAGTTCTCAGATATTTGAATGATAATGTTTGTGGTAGCTATGAATACTGTATATAGTTAAATTAAAGAAAAGTGGCTTCTGTTCTGGAATATTACTTTGGTCAGTTAAGAATCAGGTCTGCCTCACATAAAGGGCAGGTTCAGAAAGCCTGTATAATTTCACTGTCCTACATCAGGCAAGGCATAAAATAACTCTTCAGGCCTTTATTCACCCAAATTGAATGTGTTTCATAAGAAATTCTACTCAGAGAAAAAGTCTGCATACTGAGAAAATTATATAGCAAGCATGTTTTCCTAACCCAAAAATAAAATACCAAGATGGAAAAGTTCACAGCACTTTATGCCCCACACGCTCCCCCACGACCATCTGGAGACAAGACTGAACTGAGAGGAAGGACTATGGACTCTGTGGGCTCAGTATCAAGAGTCTGTGCAATAACTTCGAGATTCTTCTTTGATTAGCTGTGTTTTCTCATTTGCGTTTGTAGGCTGGAGAAAAACTGGAAAGTCCGTATCTAAAAAGAAACAAAGCAAAGCAAGAAACACTCTCAGCATATTACAGTTCTTTTAATGACGCAAGTGATAGGTATTTTTGTTGAAATCATGACTGGCAACTCAACTCAATTCATAAGATATCAATATACCTACCATTTTAAGGACTTCAAAGTGGGGAGGCACTGTCTTTACTCTTCATTCAAGTTTTGTCAGTAATGGAATTACAAAACCAAAACACCAAACCCAGCTTTCACCTGGAGGGCACTTGCTGAACCTGGTGAACTTGAACTTTAGTTTTCACCATCTTGTGGGGATAGAGACAGAACCATCACATATAGTTGTGCAGATTGGAAACTGAACATTATCAAAGGGCATCTTTCACATAGACTACATGTATAACTACAGTAAAGGTGTAGTTTATATAAAAGATGCACTCTGGAATTATGTTGCATGACTGGTCCTTGTTGGGACAGGAGTCAAAACTGAGAGTTTGCTTAGAGAGTCTAATAGAAATCTCCTTACATAAAGCTAGTGCCCAAAATGGTTATGCTTTCTCCAAAATCACTATATTTCTAAATCTATAAAGAGATTTGTTAGCCTTAAATTTGGGTGCTGAGTTGAGGAAGCTGCCCTAAAAATGTTTAATGACAAGCCAATGAACACACAAGTTGACAGATCAAGTTTTCAATAGCTCTGTGTTCTAAGAAACCTCAAGATGATAATTTAGTTTAAAGAGGTCCAGTGCAAGATGTGCTCTAAGGCACTTAGCAGAAGTCAATGACCTCACCTTCAACCTAGGCTTCAAAATATCACTATAAAATTGCAAGAAACATGAGCTCATAGTAAAAACAAATAGAGTTAGAGAAATAGGTGTAGGGGTGTGTGTGTGCACGTGTGTGTGTGTGTGTGAGAGAGAGAGAGAGAGATTACACATACAAACAATGCATAATAAGATCAAATATAAACAGCAGAAGGCCAAATCTGACCCAGAAAGACTTCAGGAACTGCATTTATTTATCAGACACAGAATACAAACAAATTACATTTTAAGAGTAATTAAATAATAGATCTTAAAATTATTTAAAGACAACTTCTAGAGATTAAAACATGGAAAAAAAACTTTTACAAATTGGTTTAACAGCTAAAGAAAGAATTAGCGAAGTGGAAAACAGATTGGAAGAGATTATCCAAAATTTAACAGAGAAAGAGAATAAATATAAAAGAGGTTAAAGGACATGATGGATAGACTTATAAGGTCTAATATATCTAACATGACTTTCAGAAAGAAATTTTAAAAAGGAGAGATAATATTTGAAGATTTTATGGCTTAGACTATTCTAGAATTGATGAAAGGCACAAATCCATAGATCCAAGAACCAGCCAGGATAAATTGAAGGGAAACCCATATTTAAAATACCTTATTCACATTGAAGAACAAAAGGTGAGGGTTTTAAAAGCAATCATACTCCTCAACAGCAAATATGGAAGCTAAAACTATGGAGCTAAAAAAAAATCTATGACGCTAAAACGTATTGAAACTATATCTCCAATATACTGAAAGAAGATATGAATCTATATTTGTTGACAAACCCTCTTAATAAGTTACATTTCTCTTTAAAAAGAGCATGATATAAAGATATTTTCAGATGGTAAAAACAAAAGTTTCTACCTGCAGACTCAATTTAAAAGATATAATTCAGGCTGAAAGAGTTATCAGATGAAAGAATTGAGCTGTAAAAAGAAATAATTGAAGAAAAAGCAAATATATGAGTAAAACCGAATAATTACCAAATATACATAGCAATAATAAAAATTTGTGAGGCTTAAAATTGAGAAAAATCTAGAATATGAAAGAATGTATAAGTCAGAAAGAGGATGATTAGGGTTAAAGTGTTGCAAAATTCTTGTATTGTTCAAGAGGAGGGTAAAGATAAGAATTGGCTTTAAACTTTGACAATTTAAATATATTTGATAAATTTTCAGGGTAATTCCAAAAGAACAGGAAAGAGAATATAATTTCCAAATCAGAGGACAGAAGGAAATCAAATAAGAAAAGACACTCTGACAATTTAAAAGAAAAAAAAAGAGAAACAGAAAAAACATGTCAACTTAAAGCGATAAATACAATGATAAAAAATTAACAGAAAGTAGATATATGTATATATCTAATCATGTGCCCAGCAGTGTTCTTAGCACTTTATGTATATTAGCTCACTCAATAGTTATAATGATTCTATGAGGGAGGGTTATTATTATAACCATTTTACAGATGAGAAAACTAGGGCACAGACTGTGTAACTAGGCCAAGGTTACACAGGTAGTAAGTAATAGAGCTGATATTCAAACCAAGGCAGTATTTCACAAAGGTCTGTTCTCTTCAAGACTACTTCTATATTGTCTCTCACAAAAAGTAGGTTCATAGAAAAAGATCAAAGTACATTCTCTTGATGATAATAAATACCAATGGACGTAATATTCTATTTAAAAGAAAAATATTGTCAGACTGAATTTTAAAAACCCAAGCTACCAAAAAATTAAAGATAAAAGTAGAGAGTAAAATGATGAAAACATATTTACCACACAAACATTAATGGGAAGAAAGCTAGTGTAAGCGTATTTTAACAGACAAAACAAAATATAAGGGAAAAGCATTTCTGGAGCTAGAGGTAACTCCATAATCAAATGTTTAATTTACCAAGTAGCTATAAATATTCTAAACTTAAATACACTAATAGCCTCAAAATCAAAATCATAAATCAAATATTGAGAGAACTTTATAGAGAAATAGAAAAATTCATCATCACATTGAAAAATTTGACTGCTCTTTTAGCACCTTACTGATGAAATCAGCAAGGAAATCTTGAAGGATATGAAGAACTTGCAAAGGGCCATGTTATGGACTGAATTGCGTCTCCCCCACAATTCGTATGTTGAAGTCCTAATTCCTTGTCCCTTACAATGTGATCATATTTGAAGATAGGGCCTTTAAAGAGGTAATTAAGTTAGAAGGAGGTCACTAGAGTAAGCCCCTTAATAGGACTGGTGTCCTTATAAGAAGAGATTTGGACACAGAGGAAACACAATGTGAAATCACAGGGAGATGAACAGCTACAAAACAAGAAGAGAAGTCTCAGAAGAAACCAACCCTGCAACCTTGATCTTTGACAACTGTGAGAGAATAAATTTCTGTTGTTTAAACCCCCAGTCTGTAGTACTTGTTATGGCTGCCTTGGCAAATTAATACGTACAATAAATTAACTTTATTCAATAAACATGTATGGAACAATGAACCTAAGAAATGCAGAATGTGTTGTTTTGAAGCAATGTGGAACATTTATAAAAATTGGCTAAGTTCCAGGCTGTACATTAAGTCCTAAGACATTTCAAAGTGTTGGTATCATAGTGTTGACATTTTCTGATCACAGAGTGTGTCAAATTAGATACAAACAACAAAAAGTAACCTAGAAATCCCAAGATTAAAAATTGATATATATGCAGGCCTAGCTTATAGATCAAAGAAAAGATCATAATAGAAATAAAAAAATATTTAGAACTTAGATGAGAACAATTAAAATAACGTGTGTATGTGTGTGAAGCTGAAGTATGACAGGAAAATTTAAAATTTATGGTCATAAATTTTTAACATAAGAACAGAGGAAGGGCTGAAAATTATGAAGTATACAAATTAAGAAGCTAGAAAATGAACAAAATAAACTGAGAAGAAAGAAAGAACTTAAGTGGAAACAATCAACAAAACCAAAAATTGTTCATTTTTTTTTTGAGAAGACTGATAAGATTGCAAGACATCTGGTAAGAATGGTTAAAAAGAAGAGAGAAAGCAGAAATGACCAATGTAAGGAATAAAAAAACAGAATAATTATGCAGATATTATAGATATGTAAAGGATAAGAGGAAATCTTGAAGAAGAAGAAACCACTTTTTTTGTAAATAAAAAATTGGTCTATAAACATTAAATAAATTAAATCGATAGTTTAAAATGTGCAATTACACGCTAGCCCAGAAAGTTCTTCAAAATCCTGTTGAAAGAAACCCAATATTATACAAACTCTCCAATAGAAGTAAAAAACAAATACTTTGTAATTTATTTCAGGAGGCATAATCTTGATAGAAAATACAGTAAAGGAAGTTTGGGATAGGAAGATTATAGACCACTCTTACTCATTAACATTGTAACAAACATCTAAAACAAAATATTGACCATCTCATTTCATCAAAGAATAAAATAGTTAATACATGAAGACAACACTGAGTTTAATTAAGGAGTGCACGGTTGTTTTAATATTGGAAAACAAATTCCTATAATTAATCACATTAACACATCAAAGAAGAAAAATCATGACTATCTCAACTGATGAAGAAAAATATTTGGGCTGGGTGAGGTGGCTCATAGCTATAATCCCAGCACTTTGGGAGGCTGAGGCAGGTGGATTACAAGGTCAGGAATTTGAGACCAGTCTGGCCAATATAGTGAAACCTGGTATCTACTAAAAATACAAAAAATTAGCCGGGTGTGGTGGTGTGCATCCATAATCCCAGCTACTCAGGAGTCTGAGACAGGAGAACTGCATGAACCCGGGAGGCGGAGGTTGCAGTGAGCCAAAATCAGCTGTTGCACTCCAGTCTGGGCGACAATCCAAGACTCTGTCTCAAACAAACAAACAATCAAACAAACAAACAAAAATTGATAAAATTTTACATCCATGATCAAATGAAGTTCTAACAAAATAGGAATAGAAGATAATTTTCTTAACCTGATCAAAAACCTACAGCAGACCTACTAATTATGATGTGTCCCTGAAAGTACCTTCTCTTCAACATTTTACTAGTAGTCTTGGCAAACACAGAAAGGCAAGAAAAAAAATGGGTTCACATACTTGGTATGGTTAAAAAAAAAAAAAGAAAAAATGGTAAGAGATGAAAAGGAAGAATCAAAACTGTCACTAATCACAGATAATACAGTTATGTGGAAATCCTATACAGGTAAATAATTAAAAATAGCAAGAGAGTTTAGCTAGTTTCTTGGATTCAAAAATCAGTGTTTTTAAAAAAGTACATTTCTATATGTCAAAAAACAAGTAGAAAAAATACATATATAATTGACTGATAAGAAAAATGGTAAAGTATTCAAGAATAAATGTAACTAAAGATATAGAAAATATATCCTTAGTGAAAGCCAATAAATGGTGAAATATACCATGTCACATATTAAAAACTCAAATTCTTAAAGGTGTCAATTTTACCTATTGATCTGTAGATTCACTGCAAGTCTAACCAAGATCTGACAAAGTTTTGCTTAGGGAATTCTTGTTAAAGAACTTGACAAACCCGATTTTGAGATTTATATAAGAAAGCAAAATGCTAAGGATATATGGTCACCTGAAGTACAAGTGAGGAGGATTTGCTTAAACAAATATTAGGGATTGTTATAAATGGGCTTGGTATTGCATAAAATAAACAAATAGACTAAAACAGAAAGCCCAGAAACTGCTCCATATATCTATTGAAACTTAATGTATATCAAAACCAAAATTAGAAATCAGTGTGCTGGAACAATTTGCTTTCTGTCTGGAAAAAGATGAAATTGGAGTCCCCCATCATACCACATATAAAAATCAATTCTACATGATTAAATTCTTACATGTGAAAAGGCAAAACTATAAAACTTTGAAAAGCTATATAGGAGAACATCTTTATATGTTTGAGGTAGTACAGGATTTTTTAATCAAAACACAAAAATCACTAAACATAAAGGCAAAGATTGGAAGTCTGACTATATTAAGGTCATGAACTTCGTTTCATCCAAAGACGCCATAAAGAGTAAAATACTGGCCAGGCGCCGTGGCTCATGCCTATAATCGTAGCACTTTGGGATGCCAAGGAGGGTGGATTACCTGAGGTCAGGAGTTCAAGACCAGCCTGGCCAACATAGCGAAGCCTCTACTAAAAACACACAAAAAAATTAGCCAGGCATGGTGGTGCACACCTGTAATCCCAGCTACTCAAGAAGCTGAGGAAGGAGAATTGCATGAATCTGGGAGGTGGAGGTTGCAGGGAGCGAAAATTGTGCCACTGTACTACAGCCTGTGCAATGGGAACAAGACTCCATCTCAAAAACAAACAAACAAAAACAAACCACCAAGTCACAAACTGGGAGAATATGTTTTAAATGAACATAAGCAGTGAAGAATCAATACCCAGAATATTTTAAAAATCAGTAAGGAAAAGGCAGATGATATAACTTTAAAACCAGCAAAAGATCTGAATGGGCATTTCATAGAAGGGGAAATTTAAATGAACGATTAAAATATGAATAGATGTTCAACCTTACCAGTAATTAAGGAGATAAAAACCAGAACCACAATGGCACACCATTTCCCACCTACCAGATTACCAGATTGTCACACCTTTACCATCAGGGGATGTCAAGTGTAGGCAAGAGTGTCGGGCAACAGGAACTCTTATTAACTGTTAGTGAAAATGTAAATTAGTGCAACAATTTTGCAGAACTGCTTGGTGTGACGTAGTAAGTTGTACAAGTGCGTATCCTTTGATTAAGTAATTGCATCCTCTGTATATACCTAGAAAAACTACAGCATTCATGCACCAGAAAATATGTGCAACAACATTCATAACAGCACCATTTGTAATGGCAAAAAGTGGACTGTATTCAAATGTTTATTAGTAATAGAATGGATGAGTAAATTATGGGATGTTCTCTCAAAATATTATACTACAATGAATGAATGACAGCCACAATGTGAATGAATCTCGGAAGGATAACGTTGAATGGAGCACACATGGACATAAAATGGTAGTAACAGACATTTCAGGCTGCTAGAGTTGGGGAGGGGAGAAGGGGGCATGGGTTGAAAAACCACCTATTGGCTACTATGCTCATTACCTGGGTGATGGGATCTGTACCCTGTACCTCAGCATCACACAGTATACCCAAGTAGCAAGCCTGCACATGTACCCCCAAATCAAAAATAAAAGTTGAAGTTATTTTTTTTTTATTGATTTTTTTTTTTTTTTTTGAGATGGAGTTTCGTTCTTGTTGCCCAGGCCGGAGTGTAATGGCGCGATCTCGGCTCACTGCAACCTCCGCCTCCTGGGTTCAGGCAATTCTCCTGCCTCAGCCTCCTGAGTAGCTAGGATTACAGGCACGCGCCACCATGCCCAACTAATTTTTTGTATTTTCAGTAGAGACGGGGGTTTCACCATGTTGACCAGGTTGGTCTCGATCTCTTGACCTCATGATCCACCCGCCTCGGCCTCCCAAAGTGCTGGGATTACAGATGTGAGTCACCGCGCCCGGCCAAAGTTATTTTTTAATGAAATACTACAGAGTAAAAATAAAGAAAGTTGAAGAAAAATAATTATTGTGTATAAATCTATTCATTTAAAGTTCAAAAATAGAGAAAACCAAGCAGTATGCCATTAGGATTACAAATAAAGTTGTAATACTAAAAAGAATAGGAAGAACTGATTACACATGATTTAAGATCATTACTTCTGAGGAGGGAAGAGCAAACAAAGAACTCTAAAGGTGATGGTAATATTCTTTTTCTGAGAAAGTCAGGCCATATTTATTTGTATCTATTTAATATTGGAGATAAACAATAACAGGTAAAGGAGTTAGGTGAATTACTCCCAGAACCTCAACCAGTAACTTAGAGAGCTGAGGCCTGAGCTGGGCCTCAACCACAACCCTCTGTCCTAGCCCCTGGCGTGGACTGCCCTCAAGTTAGCTGGTGTAAAAGGCTGAGTTGCCTTTGCCGGGTCCCCACTCTTCATGAATGCTGATGCCTTTCTTAGGCCTAGGCCTGTGATAGCCTCCACTCCCTGTGCTGCGTGAATCTGCAGAGAACAAAGGACTCTCCTTTTCTGAAGGAAAGCTGTTCAGTTTCTTTCTCTAGTCAAATCGTGGTCTACCCTCTCCTCTACTTTTTCCTCTATTTTTTAAATTGAGATAAGATTCACGTAACTTAAAATCAACCATTTTAGAGTGAACAATTCAGTGGCATTAAGTACATACACAATTCATGTATGACTCACACTTTGTCTAATTGCAAAACATTTTTATCTCCCCAAAAGGAAACTCAGTCTCCATTAAACTCCCTATTCTTCCTGCCCCACAGGCCCTGGCAACCACCAATCTACTTTCTGCCTCTCTGGTTTACCTATTCTGAATATTTCATATAAATGGAATCATACAATATTTGTCCTTTTGTGTCAGCTTCTTCCATCTAGCACGATCTTTCCAGGTTCATCCACATTGTAGCATCCACATGTATTTGCACCTCATTCCTTTTTATGGCTGAATAATATTTTACCTCCCCTCTACATTTTTGCATTTTTCTCCACGTAGTCTCTCAAGTTCTTTTCTCCCTTTCCCAGGTAATCCTACCCACTCTTGCACTTTTCTAGCAAACTGTTGGGGATTCCAGCTACTTCCATTTATCAGGTTTCATTTTGATGGTTTGAACCTTTGTCTAAGCATATCTCAGTTTGGGTTTCTTTGCAAAAACAGTCATTGCACAACTTCTGCTTCATTCAATTACTTGATAAAACTATTCAATAGAACAGTCCAATATGACTCTACCTACCTTTCTTGGCATACAGAGCACAATTCACCATCTTATCCACAAGAATATAGGGAGAGGCTGTGACAATTCTTTGCTTGTGCTAAGATAAGCTTAATCCCTTCTAGAGTGCACTATCCCCAGAATCCCTTACCCCTAAACTCTGCCTCCTTCTTGAAGTCTTCTGCTTTAAATGTCACTTCCCAGGAAAGTATCCTCAACCTGCATGCAGGTGAGGCCCCAAGTGTTCACTTTCACAGCCCCTGTGCTTCTCCTTTGGCAGGGTTATGGTGCCTGTAAATTAACTAGTTATTTGTGTGATTATTTACTTAATATTTGTCTCCTCATCTCCCCTGCTAGTTTGTAAGGTCCAAAGTATCAGGAACTATGTCTTTATTTTCTCTAGCCCCTAGCACAGCATCAGATAAATATTAAGTGCTCAGTAAATGTTTTCTGTTGAAAGACTCTCAGTAAACCCGACCAGTAAGTTTGCTCACTGAACCTTGACAGCCAAAAGTCAAATAAATCTTGGGATCCCTTTGAGCTGCTTTTTGGGGGAGCATTCAGAACTGACTCACCTGTCTACTGCTCTGGCCCAAGACCTTGATGCTGCTTGCTTGATATTTTCATATAAAGAAGAAGCATTCTTGATGAGGTACAAGCATTGCTTTCCATGCATTATTTTTAGAAATTGATTCCTTTTAATTGGGGAAAGTGGATAGGAGGAAGCTTGAGTGGGGAGTGGCAAAAAGATGAAGGATGAATTTAATCTCTTCCTTAGTGCCTTTTTCCTGGGTAGTAAGATGTGATGAATGCTAAATAGCAATGTAATAAATGTCTCAATATCTTGGCCAAGAGTGAGAGTCTAATTACAAGCCATATGGCCTCTTCATCTCAGTGAATGTATTTGGGTTTTATCCAGGTGAGTGGCAAGAACAGTTAAGCAGTCAACAGATTTTTTCTATGCACTGAATCTCACATTTTTAGATCCAAGGTCAATAGTATAAAACTCTTCTTCTTTTTTTTTGAGACGGAGTTTTGCTCTTGTTACCCAGGCTGGAGTGCAATGGCGCAATCTCGGCTCACCGCAACCTCTGCCTCCTGAGTTCAGGCAATTCTCCTGCCTCAGCCTCCTGAGTAGCTGGGATTACAGGCACGCGCCACCATGCCCAGCTAATTTTTTGCATTTTTAGTAGAGACAGGTTTCACCATGTTGACCAGGTTGGTCTCGATCTCTCGACCTCGTGATCCACCCGCCTCGACCTCCCAAAGTGCTGGGATTACAGGCTTGAGCCACCGCGCCCGGCCAAAACTCTTCTTTTATTCTCCCTCCTTAAAAAAAATGGGGAAATCATGATTCCACAATGTTTTTTTTTTAGGGTTTAGCTGGAAATTTTGGTCAGGTGTCATTCTGTGACTTCAGCTTGGAAAAACCAAACTGAATTTAGCTCTTGTATTTTGGGTTTGCTTTGCCAGGGTGGTTAGAGATAACTGGTTCCAATTTGGGCTCTTGCTTCCCTACCTTGTCTCTCTCTCGCTTTCTCTCTCTCCCCTCCCGTCACACACACAGACACGCACATATGCATGCGTGAGCACACACACACACTACATACACATACATTGTCCCACTAAACAAGGCTCTCTCTCAAGATGGTCTGTAAAGCCCTTATAGTGGAATTCTGATTTCATTATGGCCTTCAGCTACTAGAGGAGTACAGGGTCTAAGTGGGCTTATTTTTAATATACCACCCAGAATTTCACAAAGTTAGAACTCCTAATTTGTGAAAGTATAAAAGTAAGGGAAATAACTTTGTACCTGTTACCTTTTACCTTTAAGGTTTCAAATTTTCAAAGACAACAAAACTGGGGAAGGGTTCCCCCAAGACGCTATCTGTCTTCCTTCCATTTGATCTTTATTGATTCATAAGAACAATAGAATGCCTCTGTGTTCCTGGGATCCCCTTAGGAGCATATTTCTATTTTTAAGAAACACATCGGAATCTGCTTATAAGTTCTGTAGATGCCAGTGAATACCGAAGATGCCACTGTTTGAACTTCCCCCACCTTTATTTCTTAAAGGTAGAAGCTGGATTATACTCTCTGATAAAGTTTAGAGGGATATAAAAACACAAACAAATCTCTCCCCTCTGCTACCAAATCCCACCCTGTACCACCATTACTGAACAGAAATTGGTGCCATTTTACACCATCAAAAGGTACCTTAGACTTTAGCTAGAGTCGAGGAGTAGGCATATAACAAATATGCAAGAAAAAGTCTTAGATTCGTAATTAGAATTGTTAAAATTAAGGAAGGTGAAAACTATTTCTAGTAGTTTTTTAAATGAGTCAATGGGTAAGGAAGGATTTTATATTTCAAATTTGGATTTCCATAAATTAAAATAGTTATCATGTCCTATAACATGTACTTAAAAGTGAAATTTGTGGTGTTTGGTTACTGATATGGTTTGGCTCTGTGTTCCCACCCAAATGTCATCTCAAATTGTAATCCCCAATTATGGAGGGAGGTGATTGGATCATGTAGACGGTTTCCCCCATGCTGTTCTCATGATAGTGAATGAGTTCTCATAAGATCTGATTAAGTTAAAACTGTGGCACTTCCCTTTCACTCACTCCTCCTGCTGCCTTGTGAAGAAAGTACTTACTTCTCCTTTACCTTCCTCCATGATTGTAAATTTCCTGAGGTTTCCCAAGCCATGCATAACTGGGATGTCAATTAAACCAGTCTCAGTATCTTTATAGCAGAGTGATAATAGATTAATACAGAAAATTGATACAGGCAGAGTGGGGTACTACTATAAAGTTAACCTGAACATATGGAAGTGATTCTGGAACTGGGTAACAGGCAGAGGTTGGAACACTTTGGAGGGCTCAGAAGAAGACAGGAGATATGGGAAAGTTTGGAACTTTCTGGAGACTTGTTGAATGTCTTTGACTAAAATGCTGATAGTGATATGGACAATGAAGTCCAGGCTGAGATGGTCTCAGATGGAGATGAGAAACTTACTGGGAACTGTAGCAAAGGTCAGTCAGGCTATGTTTTAGCAAAAAGACTGACAGAATTGTCCCCCTATCCTAGAGATTTGTGGAACTTTGAACTTGAGAGAGATTATTTAGGGTATCTGATGGAAGAAATTTCTAAGCAGCAAAGCATTCAAGAGGTGACCTGGCTAATTCTAAAACCATTAGTTATACGTGTTCACAAAGAGAGGATTTGAAATTGGAAATTATGTTTAAAAAGCAAGCAGAGCATAAGGTTTGGAAAATTTGTAGCCTGACTATATGGTAGAAAAGAAAAATCAATTTTCTGGGGAGGAATTCAAGCCTGCTGCAGAAATTTGCATAAGTAATGAGAAGCTGAATGTTATTAGTCAAGACAATGGAGAAAATGTCTCCAGGACATGTACAGACCTTCACAAAAGGCCCTCCCATCATAGGCCTGGAGACCTAGGAGGAAAAAAAATGGCTTCTTGGGCCAGGTCCAGGGCCCCACTGCTCTGTGCAACTTCAAGATGTGGTGCCCTGCATCCCAGCCACTCCAGCTCCAGGTGAGGCATAAAGGGGCAAGGTACAGCCCAGGCTATTGCTTCAGATGGTGCCTCAAACCTTTGTTGGCTTCCACATGGTATTGAGCCTGCAGGCTTGCAGAAAATTAGAGTTGAACTTTGGGATCCTCCCTCTAGATTTCAGAGGATGTATGGAAATGCCTGGATGTCTGGGCAGAAGTCTGCTGCAGGAGTTAAGCCTTCATGGAGAAACTCTGCTAGGGCAGTGCAGAAAAAAAATGTGGGTTTGGAGCCCCCACACAGAGTCCCCACTGGGGCACTGCCTAGTGGAGCTGTGAGAAGAAGGTCCCCAACCTCCAAACCCCAGAAAGGTAGATTCATCAACAGCTTGCACCAAGAGCCTGGAAAAGCCTCAGGCACTCAATACCAGCTGGGAAAAGCAGCCACAGGGACTGTACTGCAGACCCACAGGGGCAGAGCTGCCCAAGGCTCCAGGAGCCCACCTCTTCAATCAACATGCCCTGGATATGAGACATAAAGTCAAAGGAGATTTTGGAGCATTAAGATTTAATTACCTCCCAGCCAGGATTCATATTGCAGTGGTGTGCCAGGCAGTTAGTTAAACAATTGCTATTTTTCTAGATTTTGTGAAACTTATGGTATTGTTAAGTATTGAAGCCTTGCAACTTGTGATTTCTTTTTCTCATTCTAAATAAATACTCACTTTCTAATCTAATCTTGTGTCCTTTTTCTTAAAGAGGGTTGCCCAAATGGTGTAAATTTCAAGTCCCACAAAATCTGGATCCCTGCATAGGAGCTGCTAACTATTTAAAAATAAGATAAAGCTTTTCCTTTTGGTTGAGAATTCTTAATAACACAGTCAAACAGGATCACGGTTTACTTCACCCAGGATCTGACCTCTGTGATAAAATTGGTAGCTCTGGGGTGTCAGAGCTGAGAACAGTGAGAGACATGTAGATTCATCACCAATCACCCAGCAGGGAGGATACCTGGGTGGAATCTGGCACCTACTATGGATTTCTGTTCCAGAAAAGAAGTCTTCTGCAAAGAAGGTCTATTGCAATGTCCTGGTGGAGCTTTTACCTAATTTAAAGCAGGAAAGACTGTTAGGCTGTTCAGAGAGTATGAAACACTGGATGGGGGATATCTAGGTTCAATTCACCTGGGTTTGGTTTTCCCCCTCTAAAGGAAAAGTTCAGATAAGTAGGCCCAGTGGAGGATGATGAAGATACTCTCCTGTCTTGCTGTCTCTTCTGGTCCTCTGTCAGTGACTGAGTACTGGGCCGGGTTGATGGATGTTGTGGGAGGTCCCATGGTCTATGGGGCCAGCAACTCCTGACATGATCTTATAACAGTTTCTCTCCCTTACAAGAGCAGATGGGATTCAGACGCTAGGATCATCATTCTGATGCAAGTTGTCAATGTCATGGACCTTTTCCTGAAGAGAAAGAGTTTCCATGCATATATTACTCCTTAACCCATTTATTTGTAATTCTGCTTGCTTGGTCTTTTTGGCATATATGCCCCCATTAAAAGATTAATATGTCCTTTTGTATCTCAAATACAGCAAAAGAAAGTTATAATTCTATTTCACCATGGGCCCACAATTTGGCTCCAAAGACAGGAATAAAAAATGGTCAAAACACCCACTCTGTTTGCTGCCTACAGGTCCCCACAGCAAGGGGTCCCAGGTTTCAAGAAAACCCCTTCTGTCTTCTCTGAGCTCCCAATCCTGAGAGAGTCTGGGAATCTGTACAATTCACATGATTGAAGACCCCCTCCTTTGAGCTGGAGTCAGGGTGGATAATTCCTGGATATTACTTAGCACTGCATTTCATAGGGATAAATAAAAGGTGTGTGGAAGCCTTCAACTAGTCTCTGATGCTTGATGACCTGGAGTTTCTGTTTCAGTGTGATCAAAAGAATCAGAGCACAATACAGTCCAGAAAACTACACTATTCCTAATTTTAGCAGTTCTGACAAAAATGGGCCACTGTCTAAATTATCAAGTAATTTTTTTATTTGACTGACTAGGTTTTTTGGAGATTCAGTGATAAAGTCTGTAATCCAGGATAACTATGAGAGAGAATAACGGGAGAGAATGACAAGAGGATCATGGCTGTAAGGTGAAGCAGGACAATGGCACGTTTGACCCCAGCTTCTTTATACAAAAGCATTTCCAGAGGACATAAAGTATTCCTGGTGCTGTGAATCCTGCGAGATCTCAGCACCAGGACATATGGAGGTGGGTTAACGAAGCAAATAGTCCCATTCTTCATGCTGGTTTGAGGCTACTCTTGAAAGAAGCTACATTTCAGGGAAAGAAGGACTTCTCTCTCCTAGTTCACCCAAATTCATAATCAAGTCATCAAATAGAAGCAAAGTCAAGGGTTGGTGACTTTTTTGATGTCCACCTTCTTCTACTTCAAAGAAGACCCTAAAGGAACCAGCTGAAATGCTTTTTTCTGTGACAAGTTTCTACCTTGGTTCTCCTGCCCTGAGCATTCTCACCCAATCCTCCCTGAATCCAGTGCTCACTCTCTTGTATGAGACCTGAATTGTTTTTGCTTTGTTTCATCATCAGCATATTTCATGATTTGCTTTCTTATGGCCCCAGACCCTGCTTTTCTCTATGCCTGGTAAAGAGATCTGTCTTTTTATTCTCCCCGGATGCTGTCCCAAAGCTGGCATTCTGTGAGGTTCCACCCATTTGGTTGTGGGAGCTTTCCTTCTTTAGTGATAGCTGTCCCCATGAGACCTGGTGCTTGCTCAGGCCTGTGAATGGACACCCACTACTTCTACTCTCATCCTACTCCACCTTTTTCCATGTCGGACTTGATCTTCTCCTCCAGATCCTCTGGGGACACATAGAAGTCCTCTTCTGGCACCGATGACTTGGGCCGGCAACGTCCACAGCAGCAGTTGCAGCAGCAGCACAGGCAGCAGCAAAAACAGCAGCCTGTCAAAAGGCCGATGATAACAAACAGGGTCTAGGGAAACAGAGGCAAAGCAAAATGAAGATGAAGGGTGATGGGGTGGGGGGAGAACCCCAGAAATCAAGTCTGCACCCAGGTGCCCCCAGGGACCTGAAGACTTCACAGTTCACCCCACAGGCCACTTCTTCACCCTCATCCTTACTCCACATAAGAACTATTTCATTTCCTTGGAAACCAATTTCCTGGTAAAGTTTTGCCTATAAATTAGACCCAGAAGAAATTGCTTGTAGCTAAAGTAATAAAGTATGGCATTTCTTTTTTTATTCTTAAACTATATGGTGATCATTATTAAGAGCAAAGCAAGGAAAGACAAAAGCCAAAAAACCAACCAACAAAACCTCTAGTGGTAGCAAGGGGAACTGAATCATTCTCACCAGAATGATAAAGAATGAGTTGTCTGATACCTCCGCCTCCTACACTCACATTCCTGCTGGTTACCAAATCCTGGAGAGTGTCTCTCCTCAAGTCTCTTGTATCCTCTTTCATGCCTCTATCCTGGCCAGCCAGGCTGCAGAACAGACCTTCACTATGTCTTGTCTGGATACTCCAGCAGCCTCCCAATTGGCCTCCCTGCCTCGCCTCTTGCCTCCCTTAAATCCACGCTGTGCATCGCTGATGGAGTGAACTTTCCAAAATACACATTCTCTTGAACCCATGCTATGGCTCTCCTGCCTCTCAGATACAGCCAAGTTCCTTATGGTGATCCGGCTCTGCCAGTGCTTCCCTGCACCAGCCCAGCCCTGTTCTTGCCTTTCCTTGCCTTATAGCTCTGCTCTCCCTATCCAGTACAGGCATTCATCTGCCTGGACGTCCAACTCCCAAATCCCCAGTCATATAACAAAATACCCACCTTGTGTGTAAGACTCATCTTAAAGATCCCTTCTATGACATCTTTCCTGATCCTGCCCAAAACAATGACTCCCTCCTTTGTGCCCAATTGCATTTCATGCAAACTTCTACTTTGCTGCTTTCTTTAAGTGATATTTTTAGAACAATCATCAGTTTGTAGGTCTGTTTCATTGTACTAGACTCTGAGCTTCCTGCAAGCTGGCATTGTCAACTAGATAGCTAGTCATCTTTCAGTTCCTCCTACTTAAGGATTTAGTACCTGGTATGTGGTACCAGCTGAGTTAATGATTGTATAAAGTAATAAATAAACAAATGATTTGCTCTACCTGGTGAACAATGGCAGGATTTCCCCAAAAACATAAAAGGTTTGCTTGCTAAGTTTGTTATAGCTAAAGATTAAAAGAAACTCTTGATTCTCCCAATCTGGTTATAAAAAGTCCATTTTTTGTGAATTGAGCAAAATCAATTTATGATTTTATCAAAAATATGCAATTTGAAATAGAAAAAAATGGTTTATACACCTTCAATTGAAACACGGATTTTATCTTATTAAGGGAGCAAGAGGGATAAAGAGGACCTGTATGCCTGTGTACTTCTTCAATAACTTAAGGTAGAAATCTTCGATGCTGACGACCCTCATCTGCCCCACTCCTGCTTCCTAGCCCTGGACCCTTGCCCCACATGAGGTGGAGCCTCTGATGGCTCAGAGTAGGGGAGCTTCAGTCACATCCTCAAACATATAATCTCTTCTCTATAGAAAATTTACATTTTCATAGTCTTAGGTAAATTGCTCTGAAAACAACTGCAACACCCTCTGCCCCACTGTCTTCACACCCTCCCATGTGGTGTTCTTGAGCCATTGCCCCAAACTCCTCCCTTCTTCAGCTATTTTTGTCCTTTTTGTTTTTATTATGCAATTCCCATATTGTTCCCTTTTCTGAACTTTTTCTTTTCATTCATATACTGTTTTGTTCTTTAGTTATTCCAACCTGATTGTTTGCCTTCTGTGAAAATAACCTTGCTTTGGCTGGCGCAGAGGCTCATTCCTATAATCCCAACACTTTGGGAGACTGAAGTGGGTGGATCACCTGAGGTCAGGAGTTCGAGGCCAGCCTGACCAACATGGAGAAACTCCATCTTTAGTAAAAATACAAAATTAGCCAGTTGTGATGGCACATGCCTCTAATCCCAGCTACTCAGGAGGCTGAGGCAAGAGAATCGCTTGAACCCGGGAGGTGGAGATTGTGGTGAGCTGAGATTGTGCCGTTGCACTCCAGCTTGGGCAACAAAAGTGAAACTCCGTCTCAAAAGAAAAAAAGAAAAAAAAAATCTTGCTTTATCTTTTACAGTGCTTAGCACAGTACTAGGCACAAGTAGGTGTCTAATATTTTCATAAATACATATCTTTTAGGTACATGGATTCATTCATGTAGTGCGTATTTAACACATGATTGCTACATGCAGGGCCACTCTGATGGGTGCCATGAAACTGATGGGCTTTGGCACAAGGAGAAGGAAAAGATTTTTTTGTGTGGCCTTATGTTTGAAGAACCATAACAGAAATTATTTTATCTCTCACACTACTTAGGCAGATTGTGCTTGTCCATATGAATTTTGATCAATTTTGTCCCCTTCCTGAGCAAGGAAATTTATTCTCATGTTTATGCAGGCAGGCCCTGATATGCAATCAGGTGGTTGTGCGTGACCATCTGGACCTGCCTCTGCAGTATCTTCCCATGGAAACAGTGTCATGCCTGGAGGGTGGGTTCCCACGCAAACTCACAGCAGCTTGTGCTGTTCACTATCCTATGAACGTTCAATCTGTTGACATAAATGATATTGTCAGTGTGTACACTCGCATTCCAAGTTCCAGATCTGCTCGACAGGAACTTCTCTCTCTCCCAATCTTTAGCAATAGAGAAAGGGGTTTCAAATGGGAATTCCAGGTATCCCTGAGAAAAAGAACTCTGAGGATTATAGCAAGCAAATGAGGCTAGGTTGCAAGACTCCTTTTGCATGCTGATGTACAAAAACATATTCTCTGTCTTCCTGCATAAGTAAAACTCAATTTAGCCAGATTTAGTGGAAGAAAACAGCAATCAGATACTACAAGCATGAATCCTGCCTTTTTAGATATTTAATAATTATTATTGTGTATTGAAACTTACATGAATGTGAACTGTCCACGACATATGTTGATGGACTACATGCATGACCCATATGTAAATATACTTTTATCAGAAGACAAGGACATTAATATTCACAAACAAAAACTATCATCAAACTTATATGTACTAGAGATCCCTAGGAAACCAAACAAAATTTACCACACAAAAGTCAATTCTGATTGTACTAAGTTCTTAAAAATGTCGCCTTTTGCTTGACTAGATATCCATTTTGCTCTTTGTTCCCATCTCTGCCTCTCCAATTCTCTGTCCTCCAATAGTAAATTCTTACCTTTTCCCCCTCATTTCCTTCTCCTCTACCTCACAGCAGGCTCCATTTGAGTCTGACATAATTACCACTCATTCTCCCCAGTATTATGTTTGCTGATGTAGCCTATGCTATAGATAGTAAAGGACATGGCTAAATTTGCCCCATAATAATTTATTAAGCAGTTGTCACACTAATAAATTATTTTTGGTTTTGAGCAATGACTCAGTCCTTAATTAGTCATTATAAAGAATTAATCTGAAGCTCCAAATTCAAATATAATTAATGTCTAGAAGTATTTAAAATCATGTTGTATCTTACAATTATTTGATGAGCTAAACCAGAAATGATCCTAAATAATAGCTTTCAGTGGAAGCACTATCTCCTTTTACTTACCAGAGTTTAATAACAGGAAGGTTATACTTCCTTTGAGATGGAATCTAAAAGAGTGATTAATATCACGGTCTTACAAGAGATTGTTTGTGCAGAAAGGAAATTCAGATTCACCTTTGCCCACCAGCTCGACAGCATGAAATAGGTGCTAACATTTTCATCTCCAGACTGCTTGGCCACGTAGAGTCCCAGCGATCCGTACTTGTCATATATGCTTCTCTTTGAGACATCGGTAAGTATTGCATGGGCGTTATTGATTTCTTTAAACTTCTCAGAAGCAGCCGGATCATCTGGATTCTTGTCTGGATGGTGTTTCAGGGCCAATTTTCTTTAAAATAAAAGGAAAACAAGGAAACTGTTATTTGACAAGAATGGACGATGTCCTTTTAGAAAGACACTGTTCATTTGTATGTTCTTTGTTCATGCAAATACTGTGAAATGGTAAGTTTCAGACTAGTGATAAACTAATAAGTACATTTTCACTAAATGGTGTCTCTTGTTTCGAATGCACAGGCACAATAGTACTATTTCTCCTCTCACATTTCCAGAAGAATTTTCAGTATCTGCATGACTGTTGAGTCTGAGAAATATTTGTTGATGGCAAATATGCAAAGTTTCTTTTTACCGAGAGGCTATCAGTAGCCCACCCCTACAGACCTTTAAGAGCAACCGGACCAGTTTACATCATACTTTCTTTTAGTACCAGAAGAACTTTCCAGAATTAACAGAACGTCACAACATATATTCTAAAAGTTCAACTCAGCTATCAAAAAAGTCTCTCTTGAACAAAATTATCTTTCATTAACCCTTCATTAATCTTCCACAAGTCCTAACTCTCTCTTGGTTTTCTGAACAAATACTGTGACTTCCTTTGTATTCAAATACATATTTGGCCTCTTTCCAAATAGACCTTTCTACTTACTAATCTATAGAAATTTACCTGTGGGCAGAAGGCCTTCTCCTCTGTGGATCAGAAAGCAGTTCCTGAGGGACTCTACTAGAAATTCCACCTGGCTCATCTCTCTATGGTGCCTATCATAGGTCTATGTAGGAACACACCTTAAGCTTTTGTTTATTGTATCAGTTTAAATTAAATTGTTTCATTTAAAAATAGTAATGTAAGTCCCGAAGTAAAACAGGAGAGTAAGTATACCTTATAAATCAATCTACATGATAAACGGAACAAATCACATCTATTTTAGGAACTAAAGTATTAATGATTAGGAAGTAGATGAAAATTTAAGGAGCTCAGCATCAGGATGCTTTTAATCACCAAAATTTTCCTTACTTCCCAGACTGGAGTGACACAGTCTTGGCAAAAATAAAAATAAAAATAAAATAAAAAATAAAAAAGTAAGAGATCTCTGGCAAATGCACACATTTTCTTGTTTCTAGGGTGGCTTCCTGTCATTTTTTAAGCAGCTTGGATCTTTGTCAACTCACAAGGGCAGATGCACCCAATCCATTAATCACACTGCTAACAATGGAGTTGGCCAATTTGGAGAGCTGGAATACCTCCACTTGTAACACATCCAATTCCTGGTCATCAGCAACATTTTGATTCCTCTTGGCAGATACTCTTGGCTCTGAGGAATCCTCGGGAAACATGGTAAGCAGAGATAGCTGCCAAAATTCCACAACTGTCAAGGAGGTGGTCGTGCAATGCCTCACCGTCTTGCGTGTTGTCCACAGCACAAGGAAACAATTATGGAAGGTAGGATTTAAGGAAGTGCTTGGAGTATGTTTAAATAGAATAGGCACCTATGCATTGTTAAAGGTATCCGTTGTCATTTCTACTTTGATACTTAAAGTGACATAATATTCAACCAGAATGTGAGTCTTCAACTCAAATGTCCCTACACTCCTGGTCACCTGTCAATGTGGCATGGCTATAGCTAATATTAGAAATAGCATTCGATGCCTCTAATTTTCTCTTCAAAATCTAATGACAGCTTTCAACTAAAATGCATCGTGAATTTAATTAGTAGCAGATACGATAAACGTGTGGTTTATAGTTGTAATTATCTAAAGCCCTCAAGATCTTCCTATTTGGAGGCAGTGGCATAATTCTAAGAGTTGCAGTGTTTTGCTCCATTCTCTTCCTTGCCCCATCCAACACTTTAAGATGCAATCAGACTACTACTACTACCTACCATTCTCTACCAGTCTCTGAATCACCTGAGGCCCGATTCTGACCATGATGTCCCAGCTCTTAAAATATTTTCATGTTTATCAATCTCGTGATGTGTATGAGGCTGTTATATATACTGTTTGGATATTCTCTAAATGCATTTTGGTCTTTTACAAGTTTTTTAGTTTGGTTTTTAAAGTTAATTTGTGGTATTTAAAAAATGCATATTCTTGATATGAATTCTTTGTCAGTTATATGTATTGCATATATCTTCTCCCATTCTGGGGCTTTCTTGTTGTATTGCTTTATGATATTGCTTGGTGAACAGAAATTCCCTATTTTAATTTACCTGGATTAACCAATCTGTTCCTCAATTCAGGAAGATATTTTTCTATAAACTCTCTATAACTCTAAAATCTTTATAGTTTTTCCCTTTATATGGAAATCTATGGCCCATTTATACCCTGACATTGTAATGTGGTAGAGGGCAGGTGTCTAATCTCACTTATTTTATATAGATATTCCACTATTGTAGCACCATTTAATAGGAAAAGAAAATCCTTTCCCTGGATTTCTGGGATCTGTATTCTGCTCCATTGGTTAATTGGTTATTTCTGGACCAATAACACTCTTACACATGATGGTTTAAAATATGTCTTCATATCTTAAAGAGCAAATTCTTCCATATTGTTGTTCTTCAAGAGTTCTGTGGTTATTCTGGGTCCTGTGCATGTCCACATGAATTTTAAACTTAGTTTGTTAATTTACACACACACACACACACACACACACACCCTACTGAGATTTTTATTGTGATTGCATTAACTCTATTGATTAATTTGGAGATTGATGTGTATAATATGTCCACCTATTTAGATCTTTTTAATGAATTTTAAAGTTTTATCATTTTTACCTCTATGTCCTATGTCTGTTTTCTTGGATTTAGTCCTGGGAGCTTAATTTTTTTGAGATTTTGACATATAAAAATTTTCCTAATTATTCATTGCAGATAAAAAGATTTTTTTCTATTTTTATACGTAGGTTTGAAATAACTGTTGTATGTTGATTTTTTTTCCCATTCTTCTAACTTCCCAAGCTCATGTCGGAATTTTATTAAATTATAAATTTTTTTGGATTTTCTACATACACAATTATATAATCTCAAGTGATCATTGGATTTTTTTTTCTTTTCAAATCCTTATATCATTTACATTTTTTCCTTATCATACTGCCCTGGCTAAGACACCCAGTATGATGTCAAAAGTGGCTGTAACAGGCATCCTTCTTCTGAATTAACTAAGAGTGAATGGATGTTGAATTTTATCAAATGTTATTTGTGCATCTATAGAGAAGATATGTTGTTTCTCTTTTGGTCTGTTAATGTGATTGACTGGTTTTTAAATGTTAGATGAAGCTTACGTTTCTGGGATAAACTCAAAATTTATTGCTGGATTTGGTTTTCTAATACATGAATTAAACTCTATACATTTTTCTCTGAGTAATAGTTTGACTGCATTTCACATCTTAATATGTAGCATTGAATTCTAGATCTTTTATAATTTTAATTATGGTTTGTTATTTTTAGCCATGAGTTATTTTAAATTATACCTCCTAATTTTCAAATATATGGAAAATATCCAGCTATTTAAAAATTTTTGCTCTGTAGTGTAATTGCATTGCTTGTTAGAGAACATATTTGGTATGACTGAAATCCTTTAAAATTTGAGTCTTGCCTTATGTCTTTTTATTTTTATAAATGTTTCATGTGTGCTGAAAAGGATATATATTCTGTTCCTATTGGGTACTTTGTTTTTATAGTTTTTGATTTTGTTTGTTGATTGTTTTGTTCAAATAGTCTATATCCTTCTATAAAATGGATATAGAAGATATCCATTTTATTGATCTATCAAGCCAGGTGTGTTAAAACTTTCCACTATGACTGTAAGTTTGCAGATTTCTCCTTAAAGTTCTGTCAGCTCTTTGCTTTATATATTTTAGGCCATGTGTTTTAGGAGCCTATAAACTTATAACTGTTATATATTCTTGGTGAATCAAATTTTTATCATTTTGAAGTATCCTGTCCCTCTTTATCTGTAGTAATGCTTTCTGTCTTCAGTTTAATTTTGATAAAGCTATACAGCTTTCTTTGGATAAGCATCTGCATAGCATCTTTGCCCCTCCTTTTATTTTCAAATTTTCTGTATTCTTAAATAGTAGATGTGTCTTTTGTAAAAACCATATGGTGTCAGTTTTTTATTCAGAATGACTTTTTTCTTTTAATTGAATCATTTTGTCTGTATTTATTTTTAATATAACTACTGATATTTTTCAGGTTTAGTCATCATATTCTATTTGTCCCTTCTAAAATATATTCATATTTCTTTTCCCTTTCCTTTCCTGCCTTCTTGTTGGTTTAATTTCTCATTACTCTACTTTGTTCCCTGTTGGTTTGAAAATTATATATTCTTTTATCATTCTTTTCAGGGTCCTTTGGAGATTTCAAAGTCCTTGACTAATGTTAATGTACTTTTGTTTTCCTCCAAAATAACACTAAAATCTTAGAGCAAGGACACTGTTACTCCCTTCTCAACTTATGTGTTGTTGGTAGCATATACTTTAATTCTCTGAGTCTTTTAAGCTCTGAATAATTATTCTTTCATGAAATTAGCATTTAAGGATATTTTATACAATTAATATTTGTATGTATGTACATTTTTTTTTTTTTTTGAGACGGAGTTTTGCTCTTGTTGCCCAGGCTGGAGTGCAATGGCGCATTCTCGGCTCACTGCAACCTCCACCTCCTGGGTTTAAACAACTCTCCTGTCTCAGCCTCCCAAGTAGCTGGGATTACAGGCATGTGCCACCATGCCAGGCTAATTATTTTTGTATTTAGTAGAGACAGGGTTTCACCATGTTGGCCAGGATGGTCTCAATCTCTTGATCTCATGATCCACCCGCCTCAGCCTCCCAAAGTGCTGGGATTACAGGCGTGAGCCACTGTGCCCGGCCATATTTACCATTTTTATTACCATTAGTTCTTTCCTGCATCTCTGACCATCCATCTGAGATTATTTTCCTTCTGTCTATAAACATTCTGAGTACCTCCTTTAAGTGAAAATTCCACTGGGGATTAATTCACAGTTTTCTTTAAGAAAAAATTTAATATGACTTTATTTCACCTCAATTTTGAAAACCTTCCTGGATGTAGAATTGTAGGTTATTGGTTATCTTCTTTCGTCATTTTGAAGATTTTGGTCTACTGTCTTTTGGCTTATTCTATCTTGGTTGAAAAATCAGCTGTTAAGTCTAATTGTTGGGCTTTAAAAGTAATCTGTATTTTTTTCCTCTGGTTGCTATAAAGGCTTTACAGCTTTAGATTTTGGAAGTGTTTCTGTGATGTTCCTGGGTATAGAGTTCTTTGTATTTATTTTGCTTGCTTTTATTGAGTATATGTGGTTTAATATCTTTCATGACCTGGAAAATAGACATGCTGTTTTTTCAAATGGCTTTTCCCCATTCTTTTTCTACTTTCCTTTTTAGACTCCACTTGTTTATACCTAAGTTAATGAATTTTCTATATTTTAATCTTTTTCCATTTTCCATCCTTTTTTAATTCTTTCTTATTAATGAAACTTCTTTATTTTTATCTTAATAAATCTTCTATTTTTAAAATCTATTTCATTTTCCATCCTTTGTAATTCTTTCTTGCTATTTTCTTCTGACCTAGCTTCCAGTCAACTCTCAAACCTGGTAATCCCTACCTTTGGGTTTTTCACTTTGGTGGTTGTATTTTTCTGTTGCAGAGTTTCTGTTTCTTTTCTGAATCTGGAATATGCCTTTTCATAATTTTCAGGACTTTTTAAAAAATTCTCAATCTCATATTTTATCTTATTGGTTGTAAATAGTTATTTTAACATCTGTATCTGATCATTCAAATGGCTAAAATCCTCATGGTTCTGTTTCTATTATCTCATTTCTGCTAACTCTTGTTCATATTGTCTTGATTTGTATGCTTATTCCTGTGACAAGCATTGCATTAAAACATATTTAAGAAAGAATTTGAGGACTAAGAAGATTTTATCTTAAACCAGAAAGCATTTTTATTTCCTATTTTCAGATGTCTGGGGTCTTTGCAAAACTAAAATTATCTTTTAGTTTTTCTTTTTAATCTAAAGATCAAGACTTTTTTGGCTACTCAGATGACTCAAAGTTCAGTTGCAGTTCATACAAGACTGGTGTTCCTGTTATTTATTTCTCTGTAACAAGCTGCAGTAAACTTTAAAGTTTAGTAACTTAAAGCAACAAGAATTTTATTTGATTGCTCCAGTGTTGTCATTGAGCAGAACTTGGTGGGGACAATTTTCAGCTGTGCTTGGCATTGGCTGAGGAAATGTCATTGGAGCTGGTGGATCTACTCCCAAGATGGCTTCATATACGTGCTGATAAGTTCGTGCTGGCTGTTGTTGGGAGCTCAGCTAGGGCTGCTGTCTGGGGAAATCTGTTCTCCTCCACGTGGCTTTTTCTCATGGCTAGGTGAGCCTTCTCACAACAAGATGTTCTTGGGGTTAAATTTCTTGAATGGTGGCTAGCTTAAAACAAAAGCAGAAACTGTTAGACCTTTTTAAGATTTAGGCACAGCCTCACTTCTGCAGTATTTTATTGGTTAAATTGGGTCAGAGAGCCATCCCAGATTTATGACTTACAACAAAGGACATGAAAACCAGGGGCACGGTTGTTAATTGCCAGCCACAGATTATTTCCTTCTAGTTTTTTCTTTCTCCGGGATGACAGCACTTCAGAATCTCAATAAAATTGCAGGATCTTCATCCTTGTTGGGCCAGCGTCCACGTTTTCTCCTTTTTTCTCTATTGCATTGTTTTTAAAGTCCTGCCTAGCCTTTCAGGTTCTGTTCTCCAAGATCAGGGCCCAGTTAGCAGTAATTCTTTACTCTCAAATGCTTTAAAAAGGTGGCGGGGGGGGGGGCGGTTCGCACGCATGTGTGTTCTTTCAGTTTTTCTTGTTGCTCTTAGCAGGAGGAACAACTGGTACAAATTACCTAGTCAGTGAGAACCAGGAAACTCCTGATGATCACTTGTGTCTTTGGTGTCTTCTTTCAACTATATGTTAATCTCACCGAAGGCCTTACATGCTGTTACACAAATGAGCCAAAGACAGACTCTATGTATTGGCCCCTGGCTTTTTTTTTTTTTTTTCTTCACTGCTGGCTGAAACCCAGTAACTCAGAAGCCTGCCAGCATCAAAGTCATGTTTTCATACATCTAATTATTTATTTATTCTTAAATATTTTAAAAATTTCGGGCTGGGCGCGGTGGCTCACTCCTGTAATTCCAGCACTTTGGGAGGCCGAGGTGGGTGGATCACGAGGTCAAGAGATCAAGACTATCCTGGCCAAGATAGTGAAACCCCGTCTCTACTAAAATATAAAAAATTAGCTGGGCGTGGTGGCGCGCATCTGTAGTCCCAGCTGCTTGGGAGGCTGAGGCAGGAGAATTGCTTGAACCCGGGAGGCGGAGGTTGCTGTGAGTGGAGATCGCGCCACTGCACTCCAGCCTGGCGCCTGGCGACAGAACGAGACTCTGTCTCAAAAAAAAAAAAATTCAGTAGCTTTTGGAGTTCAAGTGGTTTTTTGTTTCATGGGTAAATTGTATAGTGGAGATTTTAGTGCATACGACACCTGAGTAGTACACATCGTAGTTTTTTATCCCTCCCCCCTTGACCCTCCCCCTTCTGAGTCCCCAAAGTCCCTTATATCACCCTGTATGCCTTTGTGTACCCATCCCTTAGCTTATAAGTGAGAGCATACAGTGTTTTATTTTCTATTCCTGAGTTATTTATTTAGAATAATGGCCTTCAGCTCCATTCAAGTTGCTGCAAAATACATTATTTTTCTCTTTTTTATGGCTGAGTAGTATTCTATAAAGTATCTATACCACAGTTTCTGTAGCCACTCATGGGTCAGTGGGCAATTAGGTCGGATCTGTAGCTTTGCAATCGTGAATCATGCTGCAGTAAACATATGCATGCACGTGTCTTTTGGATATACTGTGTTCTTTTCCTTTGCATAGATACTCAGTAGTGGGATTGCTGTATCAATTGGTAGGTCTATTTTTAGATCTTTAAGAAATCTCAATACTGTTTTCCATAGTGGTTGTACTAATTTACATTCCCACCAGCAACGTATAGGCATTCCTTTTTCATCGCACCTGTGCCAACATCTATTGTTTTTTGACTTTTTAATAATGGCCATTCTTGCAGGAGTAAGGTAGTATCTCATTGTGATTTTAGTTTGCATTTCCCTGATTATTAGTGATGTCGAGCATTTTTAAATATGTCTGTTGGCCATTTGTATATCTTTTTTTGAGAAATGTCTATTTAACACATTCAATTATCTAAAAAGTAGCCCAACCATCAGATTTCTAGCCTTGTAGAGTCAGTCTGCTTTACCTACCTTGCAAAACCTCACTCTACTTCTGCTGGCCCTTGATAAGATAGAGCTTTGTGGTTATAAGACCTCAAACTTTTATGGTTCTTTGGAGCACTCTGACTCCGAGACCTACCATGCTGCTGCATGACATAACTAGACCCATACGCACCTGTTTTGACCCCCTCTTCCTTAGAAGTTCCCTCACCCTCCTCTCCTGGCTGGTGGCCCTTCACTGAAAGCCCTTGGACAGTCTTATGCTTTGAGGGCCCCTCTCCCACAGCCATGTCTGAGTACCCAAGCAACACCCAGCAAAGCTTATTATGTGTTAATGCCTCTTGTGGTCATATTTCTTCCCTTGATAAGCCCCTCAATCCTTCAAACCCCCTACAACCACTTCATGCACTTGCACCCAGTACAACTGCCCTCCCCCAAGAAGCTTGAGTACAGTATGTGGCTGAGAGTGCTAGTAGGGCTCAGGGACTCAGGAGCCACTAGGCCAGGATTAGTTTCTGTCCTTGATAAGGGACAGAATAGAACGCTCAGGGCACCATTTGGTTTCAAATTGCAGATTATGATGCCAGTGCTACCCCTGCTGTGTAATTATTTCGGAAACACCTGCTACCATAGTACATGATTCAAGTACTTTGACCAGCAAGGCCCCACTGAGGACACACTGAAGGCCACATTACACAATCCTATGATTTTCTCACATTTGCAGATGGAATATCTGAGCCACTCACCCCAGCCATTGTTTGAGTGTTCTCTTGTTTTCTGGGATGCAGTCACCTTTGTGATTCAAGACAGATGGCATGAGATAACAACAGGAACCATAGATGATGATCGTTTCAGAGAATTGGTCTTTTCCCTTATACAGAACCATATTGAGAGTTAAGTGCTGACCTCTAGTGGTAGTGGAGATGGTGAAACCACTGCATCTCATTGATTGCTTGACAAGTATTTTCCCAAATTTTTACTAGAATGTGTATTGACTTGATGAGGCATTATACTTGATTTTTTAAATGTAAGGATTAAAAACACAACAATACTTAATCTTCGTTTCAGGTAGCTTTCTGGTTACTACAATTTGTTCCCATGGCTGATTAAGAGACAGTTCATTACCCTCCCTAATAAGGTAGAATGAACTGGGATATCTGTGCAAACACAGTAGATAAAATACACATCCAACACCAGTCATAAAGCACTACTTTAGGAGATGAGGACCTGAAGTTCTGACACCAGTGGGTCACTGACAGCTTTTAGCAGGCCACTAAAATTTCTGTGTACTGTATAATATAATCCTTCTCCCACAACCTACCACCTCACAGAATCTGTAGGCTGCAAGCAGCTTTAGATCCTCTGTACCGGGCTTGTGTTCCCAATAAAACTTTCTGGGCATCTAACTTTACTATGTTTCCTGGGGGAAATTTTACATTCATTGTTTTTCTTTAGGCCAGGAATCTCTACTGAGCTAGAAGGTCAAGGGAGAATAAGATTGGGGTGTTGGATAAATGGCTATATAGACTTCCTCAGCCTCATATCTTGTCTCCTACTTTCAATAGCATGTCACACCATTGGTTCTAGTCAAAGCTCTCAGCAAGCACTTGCTCTCTGTAGGCCTTCCTCTTGCCGGCTCCTGGCTTAAGCTCCAGTGATAAATCTCCAAGCAGGTCTTGGTAGTTTTCAGAGGCAGTCCCTGCCAATATCTCTTGTCAGGTTCCCAGTGTCTCTAGTCTTTTAGTTATCTCAGTGCAAAAACAAATAGCATTATCCTCTGATCTTTATGTCAAGCTCTCACTTTCTTATTGTTCCTAAACCCAGTTTTCTCCAAACTCGCTTTGTAAACTTAATAGGACCTATTTTTCTAGACTGGCAGTCTCACTGACAATTTCCATTACTATACAGGCTGAATCTGGTGTTCATGCACTTGAATGATACTCAAACTATCTTACTCAATTGCTTACTCTTTCTAATTTCCTGTTTCACCTCCAAGAAGATGACACTAACCACCCACTAATTCCACTCCTGTTTCTTGGCTGACCAGTATTGCTAAGAAGATTGTACAACCATGCAAACTGGAGCCAATAAAGTCACACACTTTCCCACCTGAACTGGTCTTCCATGTTGCTTGCCAATCCTTTTGCTTGATCTCAGTACGTTTCTATTCTTGTTTCCTAAGGCAGGTGTTCAAACATCTCACACTTACCCTTGATTCTTCCTCATGCTCTTGCCTTCTCTCAACAGAGAACCTCACTTATTACTTCAAAAGAATAAAAATGTTGTTGGACGGAAAGGCCTCCACAGCCTTCTACCTCTGCACTTCTGCATAATTGCATCAAACTTTCCCACCTCTTCTGTTGGAGGCAAGAAGAATTACTCCTCTTTAGGATTAGGCTGGCCAGTGGCTGTCTATTCAGTCATAGCAGTGACTAAAACATTCGTCTATAAATGTTTCACCAACTACTCTTCTGCCTCCAGATAGCAGCTTTAGTATTGGATAAGTTCTGATTCACATGAGATAAGACAAGCCTTTGGAGCAGGTTTTCCAGGGAGCCACCAGTGAGATCAACCAGTGACAACTCTTTGTAAATGAAGACTTTTCTGATCCATCTGGTATGAGTACTAGTATTTGTACTGGTAATGTGGGGTTATTTTCAAGGCTACTGGGGAGCAGGTATGGGACTAGGGCAAGTTAAAATGCTGCAAAGTTTGCTGTTGTTACTGATATTTAACTTTTTAAAAAATAAGTACACCATGGTTGCTGAAAACTTTTGAACAGTTTCCAGATTCCAAAAAGTTGATCCTGACAATTTTTGTCAGATACTCATTGATTTCATTGAGGTGTGGAGTTTTGGAGTTTTTTATTCCACCATTTTCACTGATATAGTTATCTATTGATAGCTACCTACTGATTAAAGCTATCTATTGATAGCTTTAATATCTACACTAATTTCAATAAAATATACCAAATCTTATAGAATATATATCTTTGAAAGTATGCTTTTATTATTTGCCTTTATGGTTCAAGAAAACTGATAGACATAAACTTAAGGAACATTTTGACATCATTTAGATGTATCACAATTTTCAATGGGGTCTGACAGTGTTACATCCTCATGATTTTGCTTGTAAATTTATGTTCACATAATTTCTTTCAATTACCACATTAGATTATTTGACTGGATACCCATTGCTAAAGCACTCAGGAATACAAGCATCATTTTTTTCTCACGAATTTATTCATTTATGCTATTATGCAAGCATTTATTCACCAATTTATCAATTTCCTAGGGTGCTAAGTATATGACAGGTAACAGACACTAAATAATGACATGATTTTATCAGCAGATTACTTACGAAGCGTTGATTTACCAGTTTGTATTGTCAGAAAGAGGTGCATTGCATTACCTTAGAACATATGAGGACTCCCTTTTTCAAATTTTAGGCTTATAACCATCAGCTGTATAAAACCTTGCCAGTGAATAGCAAAAACTACTTCTATCCCTAGTGCAAAGACAGACACCCCATTCACGAGATGAGTAGTGATCCCCAGGGTTTGATGAGAGTGAATCCATTCTCCCCCACTGCCCTGAATCCATTCTCCCCCACTGCCTTGAGGCTCTGTGCCCACTCTGGATCCCTCCTCCTTCCTCTGTCTTAAAATCCCAATCTGAGCCCAAGAACCCTGAATTTCATTCCCAGTCTTCCTTCTCAGACATGGACATTGCTCTAGGCTCTGGTATGGCTTATCACTCAGATTCTGGCCTTTACATCCTTTGAAATCATGGCAGCTGTTCTAAACTCAGAATACGGTAGTTAAGGGTCGTAGGTTCGGGAGTAAGACAACCCAAGTGTCATATCAGCTCCACTGCTTACCGCTGTGTGACTTTGAACAGCTGCTTAACCTACCGCTCTAAGTTTCAGTTTCTTCAAATGTGAAATGGAGATAATTATAGTGCCTACAATAAAGAGATGTAAGAACAAAACAGAATAATGAATACAAATTGCTATGCACAGTGCCTGACACATAGTAAGAATTCCATAAATGTTGGTTATTTTTACCATTTTTGCTGTTAATGACTGATTATGGCTCTTGAGATTGTCCTTCTGGCTTTTTGGGGGTTACCCTCAATATAAATTGACATTAGTTGTGCTAAAATTAAGACTACATTCACTTTCTTGGGGAAGTCTTCTCTAACCCCTAATCTAGATCAGCTATCTTTTGTTTTTTTGCTGTGTTTTCTGAGACAGGGTCTGCCACCCAGGCTGGAGTGCTGTGGCACAATTATGGTTTACTGCAGCCTCGGCCTCCTGGGCTCAGGTGATCCTCCTAAGTCAGCCTCCTGGGTAGCTGGGACTACAGACCTGTGCCACCACGCCTGGCTAATTTTTCATATGTTTTTGTAGAGACATCATTTCGCCATGTTGTTCAGGCTGCTCTTGAATTCTTGGGCTCAGGCAATCTGCCCACTGCAGCCTCCCAAAGTGCTATCTTTGTTTTATACTCTCATGGAACCATGATTTTTCCTCCAGAGCACTTAACTTATTGGTAATTACATACTCATTTGTGATCATTTGATTGATTTGTCTGCTCTGCCAGACCTCAAGCTGGTGGGCTCAGTGATCATGCTTTGCTTATCACTGTATTCTCAGCACCCAGCATAGTGCCTGGGGCAGGAATGAATGATGTAACAAACATTCACTTCCATTTTTTATATGAAGGCTATGTTCAAGTTAATCTGTTTTTCCCACCACAGCCTCCCTTGTTTTGCTTGACTTTGAGTACATACATATAGTTTCTACCATTTAAAGAGCTTACTACATAGAGTAAAATTTAATAAAGTTGAAAAGATATGTCTCAAGCAAAACAAGGGCGAGTATAGGGAGTGGGACAGATTAACTTGAGCATAGTGTTCATATTAATGAATAAATGAATATATATGTATATTCATCTCTCGTAGCATAATATAAATAATTATCGAACACTAAATAGATATGGAGTGAATGAGTGAGTGAAAAAGTTGCTGATCGTAATGATTCCAGCACCCAGGAATGACTGAGGTTGACACTGCATGAAGAACGAAGAAGCCTGATCCACTGGAAGACTTGATGAGGGGGAAAGAAGAATTGTCTTCCAGGTGGGCTGTATGTGAGTATGGCCTCACATACTCTTCCTTTCCATGGAAGGTTTTAGAACTCAGGAAACAAATTAGTGCTTGATAGAGATTAACATCAATTAATCTTGTGAGCTTGAATCATCACTCTGCCTTGTAAATATTTACAATTCTTCTATTAGCTATTCATTCCCCTGACATTTACACTTTATTCATAAGCAGCCTCTGTCTTCACCTGTAATTGCTAATAAAGATGGATAAAACACCACAGATTGGGGTTGCCACAGATCATTATGGAAATGACACTCTTTTCTGCTCCTTTTGAAAACAGAATTTGCCTCACTTTGGTCTACTCTGAGGCAACTTATTTCTGCAGAATTAGAAGATAATTTCTAGTAAGTTTCATGTGAAGTCAAATGAAATAGAAGAGTCAGTTGAGTCTCCTGCTCTCATGTGAATCAGAATACTTGGTACCTTGTCAACAAGGAGAAATTAAGCTTATCCATGAGGCACAGAGAACCAAGTGCTAATGTGCAAAACTAGTTCACTCTGATTTTTTTTTTTTGAGTTAGGGTCTCACCCTGCCACACAGGATGGAGTGTAGTGGTGTAGTCATGGCTCACTGCAGCCTCAAACTCCTGGCCTCAAGAGATCCTCCCACCTCAGCCTCCCAAATAACTAGGACCACAGGCACATGTCACCATGTCTGGCTAAAAGTTAATGTCTCTATTTAAGGTTTTGTTTTCTTTAAAGACAGGATCTTGCTCTGTCACCCAAGCTGGAGCACAGTGGCATGATCATAGCTCACTGCAGCCTCAAATTCCTGGGCTCAACTGATCCTCTCACTTCGGCCTCCTAAATTACTGGGATTACAGGCAAGAGCCACCACATCCAGCCTCACTCTGATTTTGTGGCTCTCTAAGGAGCCAAGAAAGAGCTAGGTCTTTGCATGATTTCTTACCCAGCATTTTGTTAGGCTTTTGCACCCAGCATGCCAGAGAAACCAGTCAGCCTCACATTTGGGCATCTTAATCTTGTTTCTAGCCTACTTCAAAAATGTATGTATTGGTGTAAATAAAAACCAATGTTTATGTTACAAATGAGATTTTAAACACTGAAGACACACTCTCTAAATTGCATAGCTGGCTGTTTTTTTACAGATTTCCTTTTCTTATCCCCTAACTACTTTTCACTTGAGGGTCCCAGAATCATACAAAATGCTCTGGATCCCAAATGGAAGCTGTTATTTTGCCTTGCTGATCCACCCTTCCCCTGTTTACTGGGTCAGTGAATAACTCCTTGTTCAGCAAAGTGACCAAATTAATTATTTGAGAAATGGTCCTGAAGAAGCTAAGACTGTAATCAGACATTTTCTATTTCCCAATTCCTTTTTGCATTCAGCACATACTAGCATAGTGCTAGGGCTAGAAGCACAATGAAAGACAGGCACAATGTCAGCCCTCAAGGAACTGATGGAGTGGGAAAGGCAGAAAAGCAGCAAGGGAATTGCAGTGGGCCTTGGAGCAAGTGGAAGGCCTCAGGAAGATGCTAGCCTGCATCCCCGCAGGCCACCACTCCCAGAAGCCACCTGAATGCCTCCTTGTCATGACTCTGCATGGGATGTTTGAGTTTCTTGTGTCCTCACCATCCCCAGTTAAATTCTTTTTGCCTAGACACCTCTTAAAATAATATTGAGAAACTGTGCCCCTTCAACATTTTTTGGTATCTAAATTTTTTTTTGTATCTAAAATTGTTTTGGTATCAAACATTTTTTATATTTGGTTTCAAAAATTTTTTATAAGATTAAACAGAAGCAAAGAATGTAATTTTCAGCATATTATAAACATTGGCATGTTAAAATAAAACAGTTGTAACATTTTTAAAAGTGTATTCAATGGAATCTAAATGTCAAATAATCTAAATACCCCTATAAACACATGAGCACACACACACGAGCACACACACACATTCTCTCTCCATTCTCTCTCTCTTACACACTCACACTTCTTGGCACGTCACCCTGTGCCCATGTCCTAGCTGAGTTTGGAAACTGCTGTTCTGTAGGGTTGGCTCTCAGACTCTTGTGTATCCTTTGTAGCTCCCAGTACCCATGTGCCAGACCTGGGCTAAGCATTTTGCATGCATTATGTCATGTAATCCTCCACAACCCTCTGAGATCAGATGATTATCTGCACTTTACTTAGGAAGAGAATGAGGCTGAGAAAAGTGAGTTGAATTCAGGTCTTTCCAAATAACTTGCAGTGTTTTTTTTAGATAGGGGATCTTGCTTCATTGCTCAGGCTAGAGTGCAGTGGCTATTCACAGGCTCAGTCATAGCATACTTCAGCCTCAAACTCCTGGGCTCAAGAGACCCTCCCACCTCAGCCTCCTGAGTAGCTAGGACTATAGGCATGCACCACCACACTCAGAAATATCCTGTGCTCTTAACTGCTATGTTATACTTAGAATACACTGCAATTGAGTGATTTTAGTGCTAAAGTCTATGTGAACATCTCAAAGAGAATGTGGAACTTCCAGCACACTCCGAACACTCTGCTCTGCTTTTTTTCACAGCATTTAGCGACATCTGATATGCTGTGTGTCTAACTTATTTGTTCATTATTAAGCCTCCCCTTCCCTTGGCCCTATTTAAAACAGACTTAAGGAAGCAGGGATTTGCTCTGTTTTGTTCACTGCTATTTTCTCAGTACCTAGGACAGTGGCCAACACAGAGGCGGTGCTCAATACACATTCGTTGAATAATGAACACTTGCTGGAATAAAGCCATTGACAGTATCAGAGACTCTAGACATATTGGGTGTT